CCTGGTTCTAGTCAGGACTCGAGCTGCAGCATTTTGGATGTACTGCAGCTGTTTTACCGCTTGTTTAGAGAGACCTGTGAACAAGCCATTGCAGTAGTCCAATCGACTGGAGACAAATGCGTGGATAAGAATCTCCAAGTCTGCTTTAGACACAATGTTCCTAATTTTAGCAATGTTTCTTAGGTGGAAGTAAGCTGATGATGTCACAGATGATATGTGGCTATTGAAATTTAAGTCTGAGTCCATTATTACTCCTAGATTTCTGACCTGAGTTGAGGGTTTTAGGGAGAGAGACTGGAGGTGGCAGATAACGCTCTCTCTTTGTTTTTGAGGTCCGAAAACAATAATTTCAGTTTTTTCTGTGTTTAGCTGGAGAAAGTTATTTTGCATCCAATCACTGATTTGTTGGATACAGTGAAGGAGCGAGTCCACTGGTCCATGTTCTCCTGCTGTCAGGGACACATAGACCTGAGTATCGTCAGCATAATTGTGATAGGACACGTTATTACTGTGTATTAACCTACCCAGAGGCAGCATGTAAATATTAAACAGGAGAGGCCCCAGGATTGATCCCTGTGGCACTCCGCAGGTTAGGGCCAGATGGTCTGAGATACAGTTTCCGATCTCCACAAAATACTTTCTGTCCTGTAGGTAGGATATAAACCAGCTTAGGGCTGTTCCAGAAACACCAACCCAGTCCTCAAGTCTCTGAATGAGGATACCATGATCGACAGTGTCGAAAGCAGCACTTAAATCTAACAGGATAAGAACTGAGACTTTTCCTGCGTCAGTGTTAAGTCTGATGTCATTTGTTACCTTCACTAGAGCGGTCTCTGTGCTGTGGTGGGGTCTAAAACCAGATTGGAACATATCAAAAGAGTGATTGATTATTAAAAATTCTGTAAGTTGTTGATAGACAACTTTTTCTAGAATTTTACCCATGAAAGGCAGATTTGAAATGGGCCGATAATTTTTAAGTGCCAAGGCATCCAGACTCCTCTTTTTTAGGAGGGGTCTGATGACTGCCGTTTTCAGGGCCATTGGGAATGTTCCAGATTCAAGAGACATATTTACTATATGCGTGAGTGAAGGTAAAAGACTGCTCAGAACAGATTTAAGAAATCTAGGAGGTAATACATCCAGGCTACATGTAGAAGAACTCAGACTTGTAATTATCATTTGGACAGTTTCATTTTGTACTGGTGTAAAGTGTGTCAGCCCAAAAAGCTTCACTGGCTGTTGGATTGTAATTTCTACTGTGGAGGTGATGGCATTTTTGATGCCTTGGACTTTGTCATTAAAAAACTCTGCAAACTCATTACATTTGGTTTTGGAGGTAAGCTCTGATGGCATCTTAACAGGGGGATTTGTCAATTTATTTACTGTTGAGAACAGAACGCGTAGATTGTTACTGCAACCTTCGATTGTTTCGGAAAAATAAGTTTCCCTCGTTCTACGTAGCACACTGTTGAACTTGCACAATGCATCTTTGAAGATCTCATGGTCAACTTGGAGATTTGACTTTCGCCACTTCCGCTCGGCTCTCCGGCACTCTCTCTTCTGTGCCCTGACAGAGTCCGCTTTTGTCCATGGCGCCTTTTGCTTATTTGTAACAATTTTGACCTTTACAGGAGCAATCGTGTCCAGAACATCCAAAACACTAGAGGTGACAGAGTTAAGTAATTCATCCACAGTAGAACACAACGTGTTATCAAAGTTTATCATCCCCATGAAAAGTTCACCTGTATTTTTGTTTATGTGTCTTCTTCTTCTAACAATTGAGGATTCAGCTCGTGCTTTACTATTGAGACACATATCAAAAAATACACAGAAATGATCTGACAGAGCAACATTGGCCACATTTACATTTGAGATAAATTAACCCCTTTAGTAATTAGCAGATCGAGAGTGTGTCCTCTGCTATGGGTGGGGCCACTCACATGCTGAGTGAGACCAAAGGTCTCCAGTACAGAGCTCAGCTCTTTCGCGTATCTATCATCAACGTTATCTACATGTATATTAAAATCACCTATGACGACTAAACTATCAAAGTCTGTGCACACAACTGAAAGCAACTCGGTGAAATGATCAGTGAAACTATGACATGACTGTGCGGAGCATGCTCACTACCTCTGTCTGTGCGGGCCTGGAACTCACTACCTCTGTCTTGTGCGGGCCTGGAACTCACTACCTCTGTCTGTGACGGCCTGGAACTCACTACCTCTGTCCTGTGCGGGCCTGGAACTCACTACCTCTGTCTGTGAGGCCCTGGAACTTCACTACCTCTGTCTGTGAGGGTCTGGAACTCACTACCTCTGGTCTGGCGGGCCTGGAACTCACTACCTCTGTCTGTGACGGCCTGGAACTCACTACCTCTGTCTGTGCGGGCCTGGAACTCACTACCTCTGTCTGTGCGGGCCTGGAACTCACTACCTCTGTCTGTGGGCGGTCTGGAACTCACTACCTCTGTCTGTGACGGCCTGGAACTCACTACCTCTGTGCTGTGCGGGCTGGAACTCACTACCTCTGTTTGTGAGGCCCTGGAACTCACTACCTCTGTCTGTGAGGCCTTGAAACTCACTACCTCTGTCTGTGAGGGGTCTGGAACTCACTACCTCTGTCTGTGCCGGCCTGGAACTCACTACCCTCTGTTTGTGAGGCCCTGGAACTCACTACCTTCTGTCTGTGAGGCCCTGGAACTCACTACCTCTGTCTGTGTAGGGCCTGGAACTCACTACCTCTGTCTGTGAGGGCCTGGAATCTCACTACCTCTGTCTGTGCGGGCCTGGAACTCACTAACCTCTGTCTGTGCGGGCCTGGAACTCACTACCTCTGTCCTGTGCGGGCCTGGAACTCACTACCCCTGTCTGTGACGGCCTGGAACTCACTACCCTCTGTCTGTGACGGCTAGGAACTCACTTACCTCTGTCTGTGAGGGCCTGGAACTCACTACCTCTTGTCTGTGCGGGCCTGGAACTCACTACCTCTGTTTGTGGGCCTGGAACGCACTACCTCTGTCTGTGAGGGCCTGGAACTCACTACCTCTGTCTGTGAGGGTCTGGAGACTCACTAACCTCTGTCTGTGCCGGCCTGGAACTCACTACCTCTGTTTGTGAGGCCCTGGAACTCACTAACCTCTGTTTGTGAGGCCCTGGAACTCACTAACCTCTGTCTGTGCGGGCCTGGAACACACTACCTCTGTTTGTGAGGGCCTGGAACTCACTACCTCTGTCTGTGAGGCCCTGGAACTCACTACCTCTGTCTTGTGAGGGCCTGGAACTCACTACCTCTGTCTGTGAGGGCCTGGAACTCACTACCTCTGTCCTGGTGCGGGCCTGGAACTCACTACCTCTGTCTGTGCCGGCCTGGACTCACTACCTCTGTTTGTGAGGCCCGGAACTCACTACCTCTGTCTGTGCGGGCCTGGAACACAACTACCTCTGTTTGTGAGGGCCTGGAAACTCTACTACTCTGTCTGTGAGGCCCTGGAACTCACTACCTCTGTCTGTGAGGGCCTGGAACTCACTACCTCTGTCTGTGAGGGCCTGGAACTCACTACCTCTGTCTGTGCGGGCCTGGAACTCACTACCTCTGTCCTGTGCGGGCCTGGACTCACTACCTCTGTCTGTGAGGGCCTGGAACTCACTACCTCTGTCTGTGTGGGCCTGGAACTCACTACCTCTGTCTGTGCGAGAGAGTAGCTCACTAGGACAGTTTTAAACTCAGCCTAAAAAACTGGCTCAAAGAGAATCAAGTCTGTAGTCATTAGTCAAATGTAAATAATTGTGTGATGTATATTTTGTATGTATTGAATTGTGTCCTGTGTGATTTGAGACGTGTTGGCAAGGCAATTCTTTGCACACTGCAAGTTTATTTATATAGTCTGAACACAATTCATACACAAAAGGCAACTCAAAGTGCTGCAAGGCAAGGAAAGTTTATTTGTATAGAACAATTCATACACAAGGCAACTCAAAAACAAAAAAAGCATTAAAATCATAAATAATCACAGAACATTAAAAAGAAAGATAAAAATATAAAATCCCTCAGTTGTAGCACCGCTAAACAGAACTGTCTTTAACCTGGTTTTAAACATTGTCAGAGAGGAGGCCTGTCTCACATCTTCAGGAAGACTGTTCCAGATTTTAGCAGCATGAATCTGAAAAGCAGCCTCCCCATGTTTAGTTCTGACTCTGGGCACTAACAGGAGTCCAGTCCCTGTGCTCCTCAGAGTCCCAGCAGGAGTCCAGTCCCTGTGCTCCTCAGAGTCCCCAGCAGGAGTCCAGTCCCTGTGCTCCTCAGAGTCCCAGCAGGAGTCCAGTCCCTGTGCTCCTCAGAGTCCCAGCAGGAGTCCAGTCCCTGTGCTCCTCAGAGTCCCAGCAGGAGTCCAGTCCCTGTGCTCCTCAGAGTCCCAGCAGGAGTCCAGTCCCTGTGCTCCTCAGAGTCCCAGCAGGAGTCCAGTCCCTGTGCTCCTCAGAGTCCCAGCAGGAGTCCAGTCCCTGTGCTCCCTCAGAGTCCCAGCAGGATCCAGTCCCTGTGCTCCTCAGAGTCCCAGCAGGAGTCCAGTCCCTGTGCTCCTCAGAGTCCCAGCAGGAGTCCAGTCCCTGTGCTCCTCAGAGTCCCAGCAGGAGTCCAGTCCCTGTGCTCCTCAGAGTCCCAGCAGGAGTCCAGTCCCTGTGCTCCTCAGAGTCCCAGCAGGAGTCCAGTCCCTGTGCTCCTCAGAGTCCCAGCAGGAGTCCAGTCCCTGTGCTCCTCAGAGTCCCAGCAGGAGTCCAGTCCCTGTGCTCCTCAGAGTCCCAGCAGGAGTCCAGTCCCTGTGCTCCTCAGAGTCCCAGCAGGAGTCCAGTCCCTGTGCTCCTCAGAGTCCCAGCAGGAGTCCAGTCCCTGTGCTCCTCAGAGTCCCAGCAGGAGTCCAGTCCCTGTGCTCCTCAGAGTCCCAGCAGGAGTCCAATGTCCCCCTGTGCTCCTCAGAGTCCGGGCTGGAAATGCGTGCAGCCCCATTATCTCCAGTTTATCTGAGGACAATAAAACATGTCACCTTTCTGTCTCCAAAATTTTCAAATCACTCAACATCGGCTCCAAGACTCTTTGAATTCCATACTTTTTTAAATCGTCACTATGAAAAAGTGTGATATTAGGTGAATATTCATCAGAGCAGAATTTATCTTTGGAGAAAAGTTTCGCAGAATAAAGTACATACTTCCAATCTTGTGGATACCATGTTTTGATCCAAGTGGATTTGCCGTTTCAAATTCATCAAAAAACAATTGTATTTGGAGTGAATTGTTTTTCTGAGAAAATAATGGATGCCCTTTAAAATATGAACCATCACAAAAGTCTTTGTAAACTCCATCTTCACAAGGTTGAACAATATGATTTTTTATTTCTTTGTTAGAAAGGATAAACTTTAGAGTTTCGAGGATGGGGACATACACAAATTTATCGGTCACAGGAACTTGATCGTATGTTCCTGAATCTCTATTTCTTCTTATGTCATATCTCACACCAAGTGGGATTTCAACAGGGTCTACCATATGACACTTTTCATTGAAGTATTTTTTCCATTTTTTTTCTGTATTCAAACATGTAAATGGGTTTTCAAGACTCTCAAAGTATGATTTCATTTTTGACTGTGTGTCCATATCATCAGGAACCAAGTTTAGGACATCATCTTTTATATTTGAATGAAGTTCATGTACAAGCTCCTCTAAATTCTCAACAACAGATGTTACAACTGTAGAGGGCACACCACTGCTTTTAAGCTTTGCAACGAGAGATGCACACATTTCTTGGGTATTTTTACAATTTTCTTTAGCACTAGTTGAACATTCTGCTTGTTCTGTTATAGAACTAGACACATTTGGTGGATCAGGTGAATTTGGAAAATTTGGCTGGTCAGAAAGCACTTCGGAGATTGGGTCCTCATCACCAATATCATCAATATCAATATTAAAATGTCCATGCTTTGTGTTAAGATGCTTTCTAAATCCTGAATACGTTTGAAATTTCTGACGACAGCCATTTTGGTCACAAATGAGAACAAAACTTTTACCAGGATAAAAAGCATGCTTGAACTTTAAATGTCGAACCAATATCTTAACGTTGCTGAATCTGAACTTGCACACAAAGCACCTAAAGGTCATGACAGGTCTTAACTTAAGACTTTAGCCCGCATGTCCTTCACTCTTGGGCTTTCATGACATTGTCCCATATCAATGTTGTAGATTGTAGTCTGCACAAATGTGTACATGTTGTTAAGGGCCTGGTCATAAGAGATGCCGAACACGTAATGCGCTTTGAAAAGTTCATCAAAGGCAGACAGGGATGACTTAGCCTTGCAAGGAAGGAGTTGCCCGTCCACAGCGATGTAGAAGTCATGGATGTTGTCTCTCGATGTCCCAACCGCCAAGATGTGAGGCTGTCTCCCATTTTCACTGGTCGCTTCCTGAAGGCTGCGACCCGACTGTAAGATAAATATTTATTTATGATTAATAACAATCTTACTCCTATGGTCATATTAGTAAAACATAATTTACTCAATGACTGCCATAAATGTAAAAATATGTCAATTCAAAATGCATTGTTTTTCACTCTATCCCTCTCTGTGTGTGTCATAGATGTCTGGGGTTTGGCTGTAGACAGTATTTCATTGAGCCAGCAGGTGGCAGCAAAACTCTGGGTGTCATGGTCAAAAATCACTGAGCACTGTGTGCAAGAAACACAGAGGCAAAGCAGGCATAGAGTAATAAAGTCAGGGACAGGCTACATTTGGAGGCAGTTTGAGCAGTAAATGTGTCTCCAGAGCAGACAGGGACCATGTGGAGGGTCAGAGCAGTAAAGCACTCCAAAAAAAGCCACATAAAAAGTGGACTATCGTTAAAACTATCACTGGGTCTGCATCAACAGTCAGCAGCAAAGTCCAGTTATCGCACAGCACTCAAAACAGAAAACTCTGTAGATGTAACCACACAAACACATATGAACGCATATACATGCGCACACTAAAGTATTCTATTGCACTTATAGTATATTGTCTGTTCACTTTGCATTGTCATGTATAGTGTTTAGCATTGTAATTTTGTTATTCTCTGATTTACTCTTGTTGACATAAATATAGCGGCACCTAATGGATGAATACTGGCCATTCTATCTGGCATAGTTTGTCATGGGCTCTACTTTCAATATGTAAATTTTGACATTTTTGCATGAGTACATTTTGAAACATTCAATCAACACTTGGTGGATGTGTGTGTGCCATATTATTTTACACTACTCTCTCAGAACTTGTTGCTGTTTGTAAGATCCTGGACAAGTTTGAGGAGATGCTTAAGTTAAACTAAATAGTGTTAGTCACTTTTCTGCAAGTTAATCTGTTTTCACAAACACCTCATTTTCTCAGTTGTTTGTCACACTACTCTTTTCAAATGGAGATCACAGGAGAACGAAACAAGCTAAAACCACTTCTTTTTGCTGCTATAAGTACAGTTCAGTCTTTCAGATTCTGGCTGGCAGTAAATGAGTTGAACTCTACTCTTGTATTTAAATTCATGATAACAATTATAATTATTTTGAGGAAAAAGGCAAAGAAGGTAACTGCCACCTATTACATTGCTACAATATGAAAAAAAAATATTAAAACATTTTTATGTTAGTGGCATAAAACATACCTTATGAAACTTTATCACATGATCGACAGCTTCCCGGACACCAATCTTTACAGCTCTTTTCTTGCCACCAGGTGGAGGAGGCAGGAGATACACCAGCAGCAGCAGTGAGGACATGTCACTATCCCATTCTTTCGAAAAGAGATTCCAGTCAGATTATGCTATATAAACTAATATAATTTACAAACAACCCAAAAAATACTACACTGGTAAATCCACAAAAAATAATGTTATTTTTCCATTTTGACTTATTAGGTAGACAAGACTTTGGCGTCAGGTGCGTAAGAGTGCAAGCTGTTAGGCTACCGCTCACGTCTCACCCTTGTATCATTCAACAAATTGTATTTACCAATATTTTGCTCGCTCTGACCGATATATACTTCAAGGCCAGAGGGACTAACGCGTTTTGTAAATACATAGTCATTAAGAGTGACGTGTGCGGGAGCCTTTCTTGCTAATTGACTTTAGACTTAAAACATTTCCATAATAGCTTATGTGTCAGTTTACATTTAACATTAAATGTGCCAAAAAGGTTTTTAAATACCTAAAATGTGTTCATCTGGGTGCCCCTCTGCAGCAGATATCAGAGATTCAAGAGTAGGTGTCTTGGTGAGGCTTTTAGCTTGATGTATGACTTTGGTCTTCAGTGATGTCCCCCACTTTTCCAAAAGCTTTGATGAGGTCTCTTCTCCAAAAAGCAATTTGAAATCTTCGAGTAGCTGGAGGGAGGGAGCATGGCAAAATAATGATTTCTACTACAAAAAAATATCCAAAAATCCTGAAAAAGTGGATTCACTGAATTGAACGAGGTAGCCAAAAGTGTTAATTTTCCCAGAGTTGATCAAAATGAATAATAATATTAGATAATTTAGTATTTCAGTCAAATGGCTGAAAGCAGCAGGATTGGGAAAAATATATTTTACTTCTAAATGCGTTTTGCCCTATAAGTAGACTTTTTACACATTTCTTTGGTGCGAGTAAGCAAGCCATGTCCACTTCTTTTTGGTCTACGAGTAATACACAGTGACGTCATTTCATTTTGCAATTAACTCACCAATCCCTTGATATTGAGGAACCTGGGAAAAACATTGAACACTGTGCTGGATTTCTCAGGATCACGAATCAGTTTTTGTCTGTACTGGAAGGTTTGTTTCATCTTCATGAAGATTTGCTCTTCATCAGTGCTGTGCTTAAGGAGCGACACGGCCTCTAAACACTGGTCTCCATCCAACTGTTCCGCTGTGGCCACCAATCGTTCAACTTCTGGTCCCCTTTGTTTGGTGTTCTGTGAGGAGCAGCTTCTTCTCTTGCCGAGGCCTAGTTCCCGCTGCATGTTCTTTAACTTCCAGGCGATGTAACCTTCATTACTACCTTCATCAAAAAAATGTTCCTGAAAGACAAAAACAATTGAGGGTTAAGACATGCTTAAAATAGTATGTAATTGTATTTGAACATTTAAAACACTCACATATCCTTTTTTAGAGTACGGATCTTTAAAAGCAGGAAAAAGGGCAACAATGCCCATTGCATATTTGGTCCTAATTGGCATTGGTGGAGTGCTCCTGTGGAGTTAAAAATAAAGTTTTTGCTTCCATTCCATAACAAACGCCCTAAAAAAAACAACTCTAAAACGCCTACCCATGTTTCTCCACCATGTCAGTAACAAGGATGTTGACCAGCTTTCGTCTAAGTTGATCCTTTACTTCACCTTTCTGTTGGTATTCTTCAAGTATTCTCTCTCCTCCCGGTTTGTGCTCCAAAACATTTTTGACAAGCTAAATAATGAACAGAAAAGAATATTATACCAAAAAAATAATGAACATAAATGAAAGACACTTTATTTTGGTAATTAAATCACTTCTTTAGCCTCTAAAGTGCTGTCATCATGCCGAAGCCTTTTTGGTGATGTGAATGCATCTGAATCGGATGATTGTGATGTCACAGACGCTGTGTCAGTACAGAAGGATCGCGCAGGGGAGTCTGAAAATAGAATTGACAACAAACATTATAAAAGATAATGTTGTATTGTAGTTAGTTAGCGTTTACCTGTTACAGAATGTTCACCAGCAATAATCCAAGTCGTTTCTGGATTCTCCTCTACAACATCACCAAACACATCTTCGTCCACTTCAGTTCCGGTTTCATCCAATAAATACACACTGGTTTCATCAGGTATGCCAAACTTTTGCTTTGCTAAAAAAGGAAAAGAAAAACAATTCAGCAGTTATGGTGAAAGAAACGGTCTAAAAACATGCAATTTCATAACATAAGAGTGGATTTTATATATATAAAAAGTAATTGTGTACCTTCCTTAAGAAAGTAAGTAAGTAAGTAAGTAAGTAATGTTTATTTATATACCGCCTTTCACAGACAAGGGTCACAAAGCGGTTTACAATTGTTATTATTTTTTTGGGCAATTGTCCTCTCACTTTACACAGAGATGGGAGCGGGGTCGCCGAACAGGAGGCGCATGCCAGATCTATTGTACATATTTTTAGTGGTAGGGGAAACCGGAGTACCCGGAGGAAACCTACGCAGACACGGGGAGAACATGTAAACTCCACTCAGAAAGGAAGAATATGAAACTCCATTCACTTTTAAATACTTCTTTTTCCCTTGATATTGTATTTTAAACAGCATTGTATTTTCGCTGAAAAACAAAAAGAATTTAATATGATAAACTGTACATTTTACATCTGTGAATTTTTATATCCAGAGATAATTATGTCCTTAAAATACATTGCCAGTCCTCCCATCCATAGACCATCACACCGAACACCTAAACGCTTCAGTGATTCAGATTAGCAATATAATAAACAATCTAAAAATACAAAAAAATACTACAAAAAACGCGTAATGTAAGACCCATTTCTGTTGACCATTAGGCTAGCAACGTGTTAATAGACCTCACGAGTGACATCACAAACATGTGCCAGCCCAGGCTAAGCAAGATATCATTCCATTAGGCTACCATACTTTTTTCCATACTTTATCAAGACTTTCACACAACATTAAAGACTGTAGGGTCTGGAAAAGGGTTTCAAAATTCCATACTCAAGACTTGAGCAAGCACCCTGCTATATAAGACTTGCTCCATGAACTTACCACACCAAGCCTTTACTAATGGGACCGCATGGTCTAGCATTGCTAGCTAGCACCTACTTTCCCCTCCCGAAAAAAAGTTAAGCTATGCTAATGCGCGCGTGATTTACATTTGAACATTTAGCTAACTAGTTCAAATCTAACACACATCTCTTGGGCGTTATATTTAGTACCGCGGTAATATTTAGAAGTAACGATTATGTAGTTAAGTCAACCATATTGATATTAAGCTAGTTGCACTTTCCAGAAACTTCCACACAGCAAATTTGAATACCAGCGAGAAAACATTACTATCAAATGCAACGTAACACTAAGAACGCATGCATTCCAACGTGCGCTAAAAATATAAAGCTTACAAACAGTTTATAAAGTGATTACTTACTGTAGAGCCGTAGAATAGTCCGCGGAAGTAATGGCGAAGTAATGTAAAAGTAATGGCGACTGTGAAGAAAGCATGAAGACACCGCGAGGATTGACGCTCTCAGTGGGCGTGGCTAATGACGGAGCACGTACAGGCGCTATGATGCGGACCTTCGTGACTCAACTGTCATATGTACACTGCAGAGTTCACTGAGCACTAAAATAACTCTACACTCACACTGTACACAAGCACAACACCTCGCAGTGTTGCTAATGAAGTACTGAAAGTGTACATGAAGCCCAACCAACTCCACAGTGTTAAAAATTTACTCTGAAAATGAGAACTCTGAAATTTTAACACTGTGGGTTTTGCTGTGAAGGGACATGTTTACTATCTGTGTGAGTGAAGGTAACAGACTGCTCAGAACAGACTTTAGAAATATAGTGGGTAGTACATCCAGGCTGCATGTGGAGGAGCTTAAACTGGAGATTATCTCTTGGACAGTTTGATCATTTACAGGTGCAAAGTAAGTTAGCTCAAAGAGCCTTTCTGGCTGTTGGATTGTTATCTGTGGATTGGAGACAATGGCGTTTTTGATGCCTTGAACCTTGTCATTGAAAAAATGTGCAAACTCATTACATTTACGTTTGGAAGTTAGCTCTAATGGCATTTGAACAGGGGGGTTTGTTAATCTATTAACTGTTGAAAACAGAACACGCAGATTGTTGCTGCAGCCTTCAATCATTTCAGAAAAAAACCTTTCTCTCGTACTACGTAGCACCTGGTTAAACTCGCACAACTTATCTTTGAAGATCTTGTAATCAACCTGGAGGTTGGACTTGCGCCACTTCCGCTCGGCCCTCCGGTGTCACGAGGTGGGAAGGAGGAGGACTCAAAATGCGAGAATGCCAAAATAAAGATTTAATAAAATAAAGTCCAAGGTAAAAACAAAACTCAAAATACAGAACCAGGAGCACAAAATCAGGAACAGGACAAAACAGAAGTAGACAATACAATGGACCAGCAACAAGAGGAGAGGAGCACAGGGTAATTATAGACAGAGACACAGGTGAAACACATTAGGGCGGGGCAGGCAATCAAGACAGGGGAAACAGGACGTCAAAGTCAAACTAAAACCAAAGCACAGAGAACAGATATCAAAATAAAGCTAAAGTCCAAAATAAAATCCACACCATGACATCCGGCACTCTCTCTTTTGTGCCCTGACCGAGTCTGCTTTAGCCCACGGCGCCTTCTGCTTATTTTTCACTATTTTAACCTTCACAGGAGCGATGGTGTCCAGAACTTTCAAAACACTAGAGGTGACAGAGTTAAACAGTTCATCTACAGTAGAATACGATGCATTCTCAAAGTTTATCATTCCCATAAATAGTTCACCCGTATTTTCATTTATGTGTCTTCTTCGTACAGTTGCAGAGTCCACTGGTGGTTTGTTAGTGAAACACATGTCAAAAAATATACAAAAATGATCCGAAAGCGCAACATCGACCACGTTTACATTATAAATGTTCGCCCCCTTTGTAACTAACAGGTCTAGAGTGTGCCCTCTGCTGTGGGTGGGGCCACTCACATGCTGAGTGAGACCAAAAGATTCAAGAAGAGAACTCAGCTCTTTAGCATTTCTGTCATCAACATTATCCACATGAATATTAAAATCACCTGTAATAACTAAACTATCAAAATCTGTGCATACAACTGAAAGCAACTCTGTAAAATTATCAATAAAACTGTGACATGACTGCGGTGGCTTGTATAGGACAACGAAAAGTATTGGAGGAGATTGTTTTTGTTGTATTTTAAAAGACACATACACACAGACGGAAACTTCCCAAGGGACATTCTATGGGAGACAAAGTGGTCTCTGAAAATGGCAGCTAAGCACCTCCTTTTTTGTTTTCCCGTATTTCAGATTCAAATTTGAAATTTGGTGGTGATGCTTCTATTAAAACTGCATTTTCTGTATTTTGGTCAAGCCATGTTTCAGCCATGAACATAAGATCTAGATTATAAGAACAAATAAAATTATTGATTAAAAAAGACTTGTTACAAAGAGATCTGACATTAAGCGTAGCAAGTTTAAAAGTTTCAGGATCAGCGGTTGTGGTCGGCTGATTCTTACACGGAACAAGAATTAGATTTTCCTGATTAGACTGATTAACTTCAGATGTTTTTCTGTAATGTATTCTTTGTGTTATCACTAAGGGAATGGCACAGGTGGCTTCATGACAGGGCCCCAGCCGGGTCTCTCCTCTAACTAGACTGCCAGTGGCTGCGAAGCAGAGACCCTGTGCATCCTAGTGTTTAGAGAAAAGAGGGGAAGGGGAAGGCGGGGGAAGTGGATGGAGAGGCGGGTGGTTCTTGGGAGTTGGACGGGGAGGGGTTGAAGGTGGATGGGTTTTTGGTGATGGGTTAGGGGAGGGGCAGGCTGAGTTGGTAAGTACCATGTGTGACGTGTTGATGTGTCTGTGTTAGTGACCAGAAAGTAAGTACCATGTGTCTGTGTTAGTGACCAGAAAGTAAGTACCATGTGTCTGTGTTAGTGACCAGAAAGTAAGTACCATGTGTCTGTGTTAGTGATTGTTTATGAACAACTATAAACAACGACGTCACTCAAAGATCCTCCTGTAGATGGAACTGCAGAAGTTAAATGTCTGGGCTCAACCAGGACTAAACCAGGACTAAACCAAGACTAAACCAAGACTAAACCAGGACTAAACCAGGACTAAACCAGGACTAAACCAAGACTAAACCGGGACTAAACCAGGACTAAACCAAGACTCAACCAAGACTAAACCAGGACTAAACCAGGACTAAACCAGGACTAAACCAAGACTAAACCAGGACTAAACCAGGACTAAACCAAGACTAAACCAGGACTAAACCAGGACTAAACCAGGGACTAAACCAAGACTAAACCAAGACTAAACCAGGACTAAACCAGGACTAAACCAGGACTAAACCAATACTAAACCAAGACTAAACCAGGGACTAAACCAGGACTAAACCAGGACTAAACCAGGACTAAACCATGATAAAGAGGAGCTGGTCCTTGGTAAGTCCCACTCCTTGTATCAGCAGCTCACAGACACAGTGTCCTGAAGACATGGACAGAGCTCATACCAGGTGTAGATACCAGGTGTAGATGATATCTGTGTGTTTGTGGACGTGACGCAGCCTGTGGTGAAGGCCTCTCCAACACTGAAGCTCTCTTCTGTGTCTCAGGATCCTCCACAAACTTCAGTCTGGACCTGGTCCCAGATGTGAGTCCCTCAGGAGTGACCAGTCTATGGGAGAACCACTGAAGTTCAGGAGTGACCGGTCTATGGGAGAACCACTGAAGTTCAGGAGTGACCGGTCTATGGGAGAACAAGAGAACTTCAGGACAGAGTGAGTCTCATGGACATAAGTGTCTCAGTCTCATGGACATACAGTGGGGCAAAAAAGTATTTAGTCAGCCACAGATTGTGCAAGTTCTCCCACTAAAAAAAATGACAAATGTCAAACGATTACTATAGGTCTTTACCAGGTTTGCACACACAGTAGCTGGTATTTTGGCCCATTCCTCCATGTTTCTGGGCTGTCGCCGAGCAACACAGACTTTCAACTCCCTCCACAGATTTTCAATGGGGTTGAGGTCTGGAGACTGGCTAGGCCACTCCAGGACAAATGCTTCTTACGGAGCCACTCCTTCGTTGCCCGGGCGGTGTGTTTGGGATCATTGTCATGCTGGAAGACCCAGCCACGTTTCATCTTCAAAGCTCTCACTGATGGAAGGAGGTTTTGGCTCAAAATCTCACGATACATGGCCCCATTCATTCTTTCCTTAACACGGATCAGTCGTCCTGTCCCCTTAGCAGAAAAACAGCCCCAAAGCATGACGTTTCCACCCCCATGCTTCACAGTAGGTATGGTGTTCTTGGGATGCAACTCAGTATTCTTCTTCATCCAATCACGACGAGTTGAGTTTATACCAAACAGTTCTACTTTGGTTTTATCTGACCACATGACATTCTCCCAATCCTCTGCTGTATCATCCATGTGCTCTCTGGCAAACTTCAGACGGGCCTGGGCCTGCACTGGCTTCAGCAGGGGGACACGTCTGGCACTGCAGGATTTGATTCCCTGTCGTCGTAGTGTGTTACTGATGGTAACCTTTGTTACTTTGGTCCCAGCTCTCTGCAGGTCATTCACCAGGGCCCCCCGTGTGGTTCTGGGATTTTTGATCACCGTTCTCATGATCATTTTGACCCCACGGGATGAGATCTTGTGTGGAGCCCCAGATCGAGGGAGATTATCAGTGGTCTTGTATGTCTTCCATTTTCTGATAATTGCTCCCACAGTTGATTTGTTCACACCAAGCTGCTTACCTATTGTAGATTCACTCTTCCCAGTCTGGTGCAGGTCTACAATTCTTTTCCTGGTGTCCTTCGACAGCTCTTTGGTCTTGGCCATAGTGGAGTTTGGAGTCTGACTGTTTGAGGCTGTGGACAGGTGTCTTTTATACAGATGAGTTCAAACAGGTGCCATTAATACAGGTAACGAGTGGAGGACAGAAGAGCTTCTTAAAGAAGAAGTTACAGGTCTGTGAGAGCCAGAGATCTTCCTTGTTTGAAGTGACCAAAAAATTATTTTCCACCATAATTTACAAATAAATTCTTCAAAAATTCTACAATGTGAATTCCTGGATTTTTTTTCACATTCTGTCTCTCACAGTTGAATTGTACCTATGATGAAAATTACAGACCTGTCATTATTTTAAATGGGAGAACTTGCACAATCGGTGGCTGACTAAATACTTTTTGGCCCCACTGTAAGTGTCTCAGTCTCATGGACATAAGTGTCTCAGTCTCATGGACATAAGTGTCTCAGTCTCATGGACATAAGTGTCTCAGTCTCATGGACATAAGTGTCTCTGTCTCATGGACATAATTGTCTCATTCTCATGGACATAAGTGTCTCAGTCTCATGGACATAAGTGTCTCAGTCTCATGGACGTAAGTGTCTCAGTCTCATGGACATAAGTGTCTCTGTCTCATGGACATAAGTGTCTCAGTCTCATGGACATAAGTGTCTCATTCTCATGGACATAAGTGTCTCTGTCTCATGGACATAAGTGTCTCTGTCTCATGGACATAAGTGTCTCAGTCTCATGGACATAAGTGTCTCAGTCTCATGGACGTAAGTGTCTCAGTCTAATGGACATAAGTGTCTCAGTCTCATGGACATAAGTGTCTCAGTCTCATGGACATAAGTGTCTCAGTCTCATGGACATAAGTGACTCAGTCTCATGGACATAAGTGACTCAGTCTCATGGACATAAGTGTCTCTGTCTCATGGACATAAGTGTCTCAGTCTCATGGACATAAGTGTCTCAGTCTCATGGACATAAGTGTCTCTGTCTCTCCACAGAGCGGCTGCAGATGTCTCCACTGGTCCGCACCATGGCTCTCACCTGGTCTCCATATTTAAGGTCTGTCATTCAGTCGTTTGTAGATGTTGAGCTGAAGGACTAGTTTCACACAGATGTGACTCATGTCCATGTGTCCTGTTCTCTCTTTATTATACACACACTACACAAAGCTTCAGACGCACAAAACAACACACACACAAACCTGTGACACACTCTGACTTCAGGAGAAAAGACTGGATTAGTCTTTATTGTCTGTGACAATTTGTCTTCAATGTTCAAGGTGACTTTATTTGTACCCGTGGGTAGATTCTTTTTGCAGTTAAAAAAGAAAGACGCAATAGATAAGTTAAAAATAAAATAAAATAATAATATTGATAATTATAATGAAAATAGTAATAATTAAAGCCGCAAGCGGCGATGAAAGGCCTCGCCACTCTCGTGACCGCCTCCCTCTTTTTGAAGATTGTATAACTTCCATCCGTCCAGATTAGGAAATGACGTGGTAGAACTCTGTGTGATGAAAAACCAGGGACTAGTTCAAAGTAAAAAAGGAAAAGTCAAATTAGCGGCGAAACTTCAGCCCATCATGGCCGACTTCCTGTTGGTCCCAGAGTGAGGCCCAGAGAGAGTTTTATGCTCGTCTCATAGAGATCTATCACTGATCTGAATTTCATGTACCTACTCCAAAATATGCATGCCTGGCTCCCACAGGCTTTGCAAATTTGACTTTTCCAGGGGGCGCTATCGAATCGCCTTTTGTCGTTTTTGACCCCCCATGTTCAGACTTTTGTGCCTGTCTTCAGGGTCAAAAATCAAATTGATCTTGCGGAAAAATAATATGAAACCGACGAATGACAGTAGGCCTCCCCAATACAATAATAATAAGGTAAAAGTGGTCCAAAGGTACAAAGTCAGGACTCAGGAGCACAGGTACACTACAGGCAGATCCTCTGTACCTGTGTGCTGTAGCACAGGGACACTACAGGCAGATCCTCTGTACCTGTGTGCTGTAGCACAGGGACACTACAGGCAGATCCTCTGTACCTGTGTGCTGTAGCACAGGGACACTACAGGCAGCGATCCTCTGTACCTGTGTGCTGTAGCACAGGGACACTACAGGCAGCGATCCTCTGTACCTGTGTGCTGTAGCACAGGGACACTACAGGCAGCAATCCTCTGTACCTGTGTGCTGCAGCACAGGGACACTACAGGCAGCGATCCTCTGTACCTGTGTGCTGTAGCACAGGGACACTACAGGCAGATCCTCTGTACCTGTGTGCTGCAGCACAGGGACACTACAGGCAGATCCTCTGTACCTGTGTGCTGCAGCACAGAGACACTACAGGCAGTGGTCCTCTGTACCTGTGTGCTGTAGCACAGGGACACTACAGGCAGCGATCCTCTGTACCTGTGTGCTGCAGCACAGGGACACTACAGGCAGATCCTCTGTACCTGTGTGCTGCAGCACAGGGACACTACAGGCAGTGATCCTCTGTACCTGTGTGCTGTAGCACAGGGACACTACAGGCAGATCCTCTGTACCTGTGTGGTGTAGCACAGGGACACTACAGGCAGCGATCCTCTGTACCTGTGTGCTGCAGCACAGGGACACTACAGGCAGATCCTCTGTACCTGTGTGCTGCAGCACAGGGACACTACAGGCAGACCCTCTGTACCTGTGTGCTGCAGCACAGGGACAGTACAGGCAGATCCTCTGTACCTGTGTGCTGCAGCACAGGGACAGTAAAGGCAGCGATCCTCTGTACCTGTGTGCTGTAGCACAGGGACACTACAGGCAGATCCTCTGTACCTGTGTGCTGTAGCACAGGGACACTACAGACAGCGATCCTCTGTACCTGTGTGCTGTAGCACAGGGACACTACAGGCAGCGATCCTCTGTACCTGTGTGCTGTAGCACAGGGACACTACAGGCAGCGATCCTCTGTACCTGTGTGCTGCAGCACAGGGACACTACAGGCAGCGATCCTCTGTACCTGTGTGCTGTAGCACAGGGACACTACAGGCAGATCCTCTGAACCTGTGTGCTGCAGCACAGGGACACTACAGGCAGATCCTCTGTACCTGTGTGCTGCAGCACAGAGACACTACAGGCAGTGGTCCTCTGTACCTGTGTGCTGTAGCACAGGGACACTACAGGCAGCGATCCTCTGTACCTGTGTGCTGCAGCACAGGGACACTACAGGCAGATCCTCTGTACCTGTGTGCTGCAGCACAGGGACACTACAGGCAGTGATCCTCTGTACCTGTGTGCTGTAGCACAGGGACACTACAGGCAGATCCTCTGTACCTGTGTGGTGTAGCACAGGGACACTACAGGCAGCGATCCTCTGTACCTGTGTGCTGTAGCACAGGGACACTACAGGCAGCGATCCTCTGTACCTGTGTGCTGCAGCACAGGGACACTACAGGCAGATCCTCTGTACCTGTGTGCTGCAGCACAGGGACACTACAGGCAGATCCTCTGTACCTGTGTGCTGCAGCACAGGGACACTACAGGCAGATCCTCTGTACCTGTGTGCTGCAGCACAGGGACACTAAAGGCAGCGATCCTCTGTACCTGTGAGCTGTAGCACAGGGACACTACAGGCAGCGATCCTCTGTACCTGTGTGCTGTAGCACAGGGACACTACAGGCAGATCCTCTGTACCTGTGTGCTTTAGCACAGGGACACTACAGGCAGTGATCCTCTGTACCTGTGTGCTGTAGCACAGGGACACTACAGGCAGCGATCCTCTGTACCTGTGTGCTGTAGCACAGGGACACTACAGGCAGATCCTCTGTACCTGTGTGCTGTAGCACAGGGACACTACAGGCAGCGATCCTCTGTACCTGTGTGCTGCAGCACAGGGACACTACAGGCAGCGATCCTCTGTACCTGTGTGCTGCAGCACAGGGACACTACAGGCAGATCCTCTGTACCTGTGTGCTGCAGCACAGGGACACTACAGGCAGTGATCCTCTGTACCTGTGTGCTGTAGCACAGGGACACTACAGGCAGATCCTCTGTACCTGTGTGGTGTAGCACAGGGACACTACAGGCAGCGATCCTCTGTACCTGTGTGCTGCAGCACAGGGACACTACAGGCAGATCCTCTGTACCTGTGTGCTGCAGCACAGGGACACTACAGGCAGATCCTCTGTACCTGTGTGCTGCAGCACAGGGACAGTACAGGCAGATCCTCTGTACCTGTGTGCTGCAGCACAGGGACAGTAAAGGCAGCGATCCTCTGTACCTGTGTGCTGTAGCACAGGGACACTACAGGCAGATCCTCTGTACCTGTGTGCTGTAGCACAGGGACACTACAGACAGCGATCCTCTGTACCTGTGTGCTGTAGCACAGAGACACTACAGGCAGTGATCCTCTGTACCTGTGTGCTGTAGCACAGGGACACTACAGGCAGCGATCCTCTGTACCTGTGTGCTGCAGCACAGGGACACTACAGGCAGCGATCCTCTGTACCTGTGTGCTGTAGCACAGGGACACTACAGGGAGATCCTCTGAACCTGGTGTGCTGCAGCACAGGGACACTACAGGCAGATCCTCTGTACCTGTGTGCTGCAGCACAGAGACACTACAGGCAGTGGTCCTCTGTACCTGTGTGCTGTAGCACAGGGACACTACAGGCAGCGATCCTCTGTACCTGTGTGCTGCAGCACAGGGACACTACAGGCAGCGATCCTCTGTACCTGTGAGCTGCAGCACAGGGACACTACAGGCAGATCCTCTGTACCTGTGTGCTGCAGCACAGGTACACTACAGGCAGATCCTCTGTACCTGTGTGCTGCAGCACAGGGACAGTACAGGCAGATCCTCTGTACCTGTGTGCTGCAGCACAGGGACAGTAAAGGCAGCGATCCTCTGTACCTGTGTGCTGTAGCACAGGGACACTACAGGCAGATCCTCTGTACCTGTGTGCTGTAGCACAGGGACACTACAGACAGCGATCCTCTGTACCTGTGTGCTGTAGCACAGGGACACTACAGGCAGCGATCCTCTGTACCTGTGTGCTGTAGCACAGGGACACTACAGGCAGCGATCCTCTGTACCTGTGTGCTGCAGCACAGGGACACTACAGGCAGCGATCCTCTGTACCTGTGTGCTGTAGCACAGGGACACTACAGGCAGATCCTCTGAACCTGTGTGCTGCAGCACAGGGACACTACAGGCAGATCCTCTGTACCTGTGTGCTGCAGCACAGAGACACTACAGGCAGTGGTCCTCTGTACCTGTGTGCTGTAGCACAGGGACACTACAGGCAGCGATCCTCTGTACCTGTGTGCTGCAGCACAGGGACACTACAGGCAGATCCTCTGTACCTGTGTGCTGCAGCACAGGGACACTACAGGCAGTGATCCTCTGTACCTGTGTGCTGTAGCACAGGGACACTACAGGCAGATCCTCTGTACCTGTGTGGTGTAGCACAGGGACACTACAGGCAGCGATCCTCTGTACCTGTGTGCTGTAGCACAGGGACACTACAGGCAGCGATCCTCTGTACCTGTGTGCTGCAGCACAGGGACACTACAGGCAGATCCTCTGTACCTGTGTGCTGCAGCACAGGGACACTACAGGCAGATCCTCTGTACCTGTGTGCTGCAGCACAGGGACACTACAGGCAGATCCTCTGTACCTGTGTGCTGCAGCACAGGGACACTAAAGGCAGCGATCCTCTGTACCTGTGAGCTGTAGCACAGGGACACTACAGGCAGCGATCCTCTGTACCTGTGTGCTGTAGCACAGGGACACTACAGGCAGATCCTCTGTACCTGTGTGCTTTAGCACAGGGACACTACAGGCAGTGATCCTCTGTACCTGTGTGCTGTAGCACAGGGACACTACAGGCAGCGATCCTCTGTACCTGTGTGCTGTAGCACAGGGACACTACAGGCAGATCCTCTGTACCTGTGTGCTGTAGCACAGGGACACTACAGGCAGATCCTCTGTACCTGTGTGCTGTAGCACAGGGACACTACAGGCAGTGATCCTCTGTACCTGTGTGCTGTAGCACAGGGACACTACAGGCAGATCCTCTGTACCTGTGTGCTGTAGCACAGGGACACTACAGGCAGTGATCCTCTGTGCCTGTGTGCTGCAGCACAGGGACACTACAGGCAGTGATCCTCTGTACCTGTGTGCTGTAGCACAGGGACACTACAGGCAGATCCTCTGTACCTGTGTGCTGCAGCACAGGGACACTACAGGCAGATCCTCTGTACCTGTGTGCTGTAGCACAGGGACACTACAGGCAGATCCTCTGTACCTGTGTGCTGTAGCACAGGGACACTACAGGCAGTGATCCTCTGTACCTGTGTGCTGTAGCACAGGGACACTACAGGCAGTGATCCTCTGTACCTGTGTGCTGTAGCACAGGTACACTACAGGCAGATCCTCTGTACCTGTGTGCTGTAGCACAGGGACACTACAGGCAGTGATCCTCTGTACCTGTGTGCTGTAGCACAGGGACACTACAGGCAGTGATCCTCTGTACCCAGGCCCGTCGCAAGGGGGGTGCGAGGCCCTGTGTGAACTTGAAACGCGAGGCCCTGCCCTGACACCTTTTTCCCAGATCTCAGGTCAGTTTTCCCGGTTATAATCTTTGATTTTAGCACAGAGATCAGCACGCCGCAGCCGAGTGTCCTCGCTCCAATGCAGCGTCGGGCGCACACACACTCTGTTACGGAGCTTGGCATTACGATATTGGTCGCGGTCTTTTTAGCTGACATGGCTCTTTCGTCCTGTGGCAAAATGGCATCAACCCAAAAGATTGAGCCAAAAGGAGTCTTCTTCTTCTAATAGTTAGATTACGGCAAAATGCGCCAAAATGACTTTGAGGCGGAGTCAATTTTGTTGTATTTTATTTCTCATCAAATAACGTCTTTACCATGTTTTCCACACACTGACAACACACACTCCTTCCTCCTCCACACACTGACAACACACACTCCTTCTCCTCCACACACTGACAACACACACTCCTTCTCCTCCACACACTGACAACACACACTCCTTCTCCTCCACACACTGACAACACACACTCCTTCTCCTCCACACACTGACAACACACGCTCCTTCTCCTCCTCCACACACTCTGACCACAACAAGGCGTTACCCAAAATGCACTGCACTCACAGTGGCCCTCATGTATGAAGCTTGTGTACGGCCAAATCAGGGTGTAACTGAGGCGTACACAAAATATTTACACTTTTCCGCATTTATCAATCTGGACATTTATTCTGGATCAGAATCAGTTTATTTGCCATTTGCAGAAAAAAACGACATTGGAACACAGGAGACACCGGGGGCACCAACACAACAAAGCACACACACAGAATAAAAATAGCGAGACACAGTGAGGCAAATATAAAACTCTTAAAAGCATTATTAAGACGCTACGAAGGAGGAGCTCCAAGAGAAGCAGATCTCAGGACGCTCTGTTCAGTCTTATAACCGCCTGAGGGAAGAAGCTATTGGCATGGCGGGTGGTCCTGCACCGCACGGACCGGAATCTTCTCCCCGAGGGAAGAGGCTGGAACAAGGCCGCTCCAGGATGACCAGAGGAGTCCTTTACAATCCTCAGGGCTCGGTTCAAGAGTCTGCTCTCATAACGAGCCTCCAGAACGGGCTTCTCACGGTTCACAGTCCTCTGAGCAGAACCACTTTGTTCAGGGCTCTCTTTTCTTTGGCTGTGATGAACCACAGTGATCGCACCAGCATCAGGCTTTCTATGGTGCAGCGGTAGAAGTTCAGAAAAATCTTAGAGTTGTTTGTAAATTCTCTAAGTTTCCACAGAAAGTATAGACGTTGGCGAGCTTTCTTAACAATAAGGTTAGACCAAGAAACGTACTCTCCTCAACAACCTCCACCTGAGAGTTTTCAATGACCACAGGAGAGAGAGAGACCACGACTGCACAGGTGAGTGAGAGAGACCACGACTGCACAGGTGAGTGGGAGAGACCACGACTGCACAGGTGAGAGAGAGAGACCACGACTGCACAGGTGAGTGGGAGAGACCACGACTGCACAGGTGAGTGGGAGAGAGAGAGACCACGACGGCACAGGTGAGTGGGAGAGAGAGAGACCACGACTGCACAGGTAAGTGGGAGAGAGAGAGAGACCACGACTGCACAGGTGAGTGGGGAGAGAGAGAAACCACGACTGCACAGGTGAGTGGGAGAGAGAGAGACCACGACGGCACAGGTGAGTGGGAGAGAGAGACCACGACGGCACAGTTGAGTGGGAGAGAGAGAGACCACGACTGCACAGGTGAGTGGTCACTTGGGAATCAATGGTGGTGTCGTCTGCATATTTAATGATCAAGTTTGAGTCAGAAGAAGCAACACAGTCATGGGTGTACAATGTGAAGAGCAGAGGACTCAGAATACACCCCTGAGGAGATCCAGTGCTCACAAACGCTTCATCTGAGAGACGGCCACCGATTCTAACTCTCTGAGATCTGCTGATGAGAGAGCTGTAAATCCATTTACACATGGCTTCGCTCAGGCCGAGGGATCTGAGCTTTTCAACCAGTTTACCTGGGACTAGACAGTTAAAAGCAGAGCTGTAATCAATGAACAGCATTCTGGCCAGAGATTTAGCATTGTCCAGATGACTGTACACAGAGTTCAGTGCAAGAGAGATCAGGTCTTCAACGCTCCTGTTTTCTTTGTACCCAAACTGGAGCGGGTCGGTACCGGAGGGGATCTGGCTCTAAACAAAGTCCAGTACAAAGTCCAGTATAAGCCGCTCAATGCCGTCTGGGCATGCGGCTTTTCAGGTCGGGGTTCTGGACAGGACCCACTGCACTTCCTCCTGCGTCACTGTAAAGGCTGCTTGGTCTATACAGTCAAGGAAGACGACAGGTGAGGGATCAGCGGCTTCAAAGTGACAGTAAAAGTTCTTGAGCTCGTTGGGCAGAGCTTTGTCAGCGATGACAGTTCTGCCTGCGCTCGGCTTCCAGACTGTGATGGTCTGAATGCCCTTCCACTTTTGCCTGGAATCGTTCTCTATGCAGTGTCCTTCTTGTCGCTCTCCATAGGACCGCTTAGCGTGTTTAATAGAGCGTTCTAAAGCACATCTGGATAGTTTGTAAGCCAATGCATCGCCAGATTGAAAAGCTAACGCACGCTCACGGATTCTACTTTTTACTTCCGAAGTCATCCATAGGTTTTGACCACAATGCTCTTTTATTATTTTCCGTGGGACACAGCAATCAATACAAAAGTCAATATATCCCGTAACAGCATCACAGTATTCGTCCACATTTTCCGAGTGGAAAACAGACCAGTCCGTGGCGTCAAAAACAGCCCTGCAGCTTTAAGTTTACGTCGTCTGACCAGCACTGAACAGAACGAAAGGATGGTTTCTGTAGCTGGCTCTTCTGCATATATGATGGCAGAAGCAGCACTGAAGAGTGGTCAGACCTCCCGAGCACTGGTCTGAGGTAAGACCTAAAGGCCCCCTTTAATATTACTATAGCAGTGATCCAGAATGCGAGAGCACCTTGTAGGCATAGACACATGCTGGTGAAAGTTATGGAGCACTGACTTTAAGTTACATTTGTTGAAGTCACCCGCTGCAATTATGGCTGCTTTGGGATAAGCACCTTCGCATTTATGCAAAATGTCACTCAAGTCATTTAGCGCGTCAGCGGAGTCCGCTCGGGGGTGAATGTAAACAGCACACAGAAAACACAGCAGTCAGTTCCCGGGGCAGAAAGAAAGGGCGGCATTTTAGCACAATATATTCTAGGTTAGCTGAACAAAAAATGTTAACCACAACATTGTCTGTGCTCCAGCACTGGTTGAGCAGGATACATTCCCCACCTTCTCTGTTTTTTCCCGTGGACTCCTTATTCCTGTCCATACGGAAAACGGAGAAGCCAGGTGGCAGAAACGCAGAGTCCTGAACACCGCTGTGGAGCCAAGTCTCCGGCAGACAGAACGCAGCGCATTCTGCGGCCTCTCTCTGGACCCGGATTTGGCTCGCGAGGTCATCTGATTTGTTCAGAAGGGACTGCATGTTCGCTAAATATATGGATGGCAGCGGGAACCTGGAGGTACGGCTCCGCACGAACTTTGCCACAAACTCTGTCTCCAATACTCAAAAGAGTCTCACGGTCGTACGCCACTGTATCCATCCCCATGCACACAAGACAGACAGCAAAAGACAGGGTGCAACCCAGAGCTCGAGCTACGCAGCCATACACCAACGCCATCTTGGAGATTTATGGAAAATAAAATGTAAAATAGGACTTACTTCATGCACACAGGATTTGAGTAAGCGACCACATATCTTGTCAGGACCGAGGTTTTTGTTTGGCTTAATTATAGAGAGGGCTTTTATGACATCCTCAGTAAAGGTAAAGGTGCACTTTTATTAATCCCCGTAGGGCAATTCAATCCTCTGCATTTGACCCATCCTGATGCCACTAAGGCGTACGTCAGGAGCAGTGGTCGCTGTAGAACAGCGTCTGGGAACCCATCTCCAGATGTTGATGCTCTGGGTCAGGACCGGAGCTGGAGGATTTTAACCTAGTGAGCATGTTTTTAGTGGTAAGGGAAACTGGAGTACCCGGAGGAAACCTACTCAGGCAGAAAGACCCTGTTCCGACTGGGATTCAGCCTGGCCATTTTGGAGCCAGCATTGATGTTCATGCTTGTCCAGGCCGAACCATGTTGTTGTTGCTGCCATCCTATTTTCCAGTTTTGATTTGTAAGCACATTTAATTTAAGCATTTCAGTTTTAAGTTTCTTCTTGGCTTCTTGAATACCAGGTTGTGATCCTTGCTGAAAAGCTAAAGCCCTTTTCTGTAAGCAGGACTTTACAGCTCTTGTAACCCAAGGCCTATTATTGGGGTATATTTTGACCCTTTTGGATGGTATTATCATGTCCCTTCAAAAAGCCTCATAAGAGCAGGTCATATCAGCCACGGTGTCCAGGTCATCGTCACATGACTGAGTAAAGACATCCCAGTCCGTACAATCAAAGCATTCCTGTAGTGAAAGTACAGCATCCTGAGTCCAGACTTCTACATCCCTGGTCTCAGTTTTTACTCTCTTCAGAACAGTCTCATAAGTAGGCACTAACTGCACAAAACTATGATCTGAGGAGCTCAGTGGAGGGATTGGAAAAGCTTTGTAGGCCCCTCAATAGATCCACAGCACAAGTCCAGTGTTTTCTTCTGCCTGGTTGGCCAGGAGACATTCTGACAGAAGTTCTTAAGTTCTTTTTCAAGGCCACGTGATTAAAATCCCTGCGGATTGCCAGACGAAGCCTGGGACAGATGACATGGAACTCAGTTTCAGTTCAAGGAGCATATCTCTTGTGTATTGAAGTCTTGCAAAAGAAGATACTGCAGCTCCATTGATTTTGTTTGCCAGAAGACGAAGGAGAAGGTTTGCCAGCACAATAAAGCTGGTCATTTGCCTCTGGTTGCGTTGATAAAAGCACCAGTCCGTCACATGCACCAGTCGACCACAATAACTAAAACTAAAGTTCATAAAGTTCTTAAAACACACTCAACCTAGACGCCAAGCTGCCAGTTGCAGAGTGCGCATGTCTTGGACATACAAGAAAAGAGACTCTTTGTGCTAGTTTCCACAAGATGAATCACATGTGACTTGGGTGGCATCTCTGACTGCCCCCCAACCCCTCTGCATTTGACCCGTCCTTCTGTGGGTTGCCATAGTGTAGCAGCCGCTAACCCATCTCCATTTGTGTTGTTTCTTATGTGTGTGTGCAGCACCTGGAGAAGAACCTCTCCACTTTTTTCCAGGAGGAGCTGAAGAAGTTCCTCAGGCTTCTGGGCACAGATTACCCAGAATGCTTAGAGCCTGTGGAGGATGAGGAGCAGAGGAGCAGCAGTGAGGCGCTCCTGAAGATCACACTGAACTTCCTGAGGAGGATGGATCAGAAGGAGCTGGCTGAGCGTCTGTGGAGCAGTAAGAACACGTTCATGATGGTCATGTGATCTTCTCTGACTCCTGTCTCTGTTGTCTTCATTCAGGGGTTTCTTCTGGACGTTCTCAGCGTAAACTGAAGGTGGATCTGCAGCAGAGGTTTGAGTGTGTGTTTGAGGGCATTGCTAAAGCAGGAGCCCCCACCCTCCTGAAGCAGATCTACACCGAGCTCTACATCACAGAGGGAGGCTCTTCAGAGGTCAACCAGGAACATGAGGTCCGACACATGGAAGCAGCCTCCAGGAGACCAGCAGAAAGAACCATCACATGTGAAGACATCTTTAAAGACCCGGCCCACTCAGACAAACCAATCAGAACGGTGCTGACAAAGGGAGTGGCTGGCATCGGGAAAACAGTGCTCACTCAGAAGTTCAGTCTGGACTGGGCTGAAGGCAAAGCCAACCAGGACCTCCAGCTGCTGTTCCCCTTCACTTTCAGAACTCTCAATGTTGTGAAGGACAGAAGCTTCAGCCTGGTGTCACTTGTTCATCACTTCTTTAGTCAAACACAAGCAGATCTCTGCAGCTTTGAAGACCTCCAGGTGCTCTTCATCTTTGACGGTCTGGACGAGTGCAGACTTCCTCTGGACTTCAGCAGCTCTCGTGTCCTCTCAGACCCCACAGAGTCCGTCTCTCTGGACCTGCTGCTGGTGAACCTCATCAGGGGGAGCCTGCTTCCCTCCGCTCGCCTCTGGATCACCACACGCCCCGCGGCGGCCAATCAGATCCCTGCAGAGTGCGTCTCCATGGTGACAGAGGTCCGAGGGTTTAGCGACTCTCAGAAGGAGCAGTACTTCAGGAGGAGGTTCGGAGAACAGGCCGACACAGTCCTCTCCCACATCAAGACGTCCAGAAGCCTCCACATCATGTGCCACATGCCAGTCTTCTGCTGGATCACTGCCACAGTCCTGGAGCATGTGTTGAAGAGCAGAGAGAGAGGAGAGCTGCCCAAGAGCCTGACGCAGATGTACAGCCACTTCCTGGTGGTTCAGGCCAAAGTCAAGAACATCAAGTATAAAGAAGGATCAGTGACAGACCCACACTGGAATCCAGACACCAGGAAGATGGTGGAGTCTCTGGGAAAACTGGCCTTTGAGCAGCTGCAGAGAGGAAACCTGATCTTCTACGACTGTGACCTGAGCGAGTGTGGGCTGGACGCTGCAGCCGCCTCAGTGTACTCCGGAGTCTTCACACAGGTCTTTAGAGAGGAGCCAGGCCTGTACCAGGACACGGTCTACTGCTTCATCCATCTGAGTGTGCAGGAGTTTCTGGCTGCTCTTCACGTCCATCTGACCTTCATCAACACTGGAACCAACCTGCTCTCACAGAAAACACATAAGTCCACAATATTTAGTTTGAAAAGAAAACTGGATCATTTTCATCAGACAGCTGTGGACCAGGCCTTACTGAGTCCAAACGGACACCTGGACCTGCTCCTCCGCTTCCTTCTGGGCCTGTCAGTGTCGACCAATCAGAGCCTTCTAAACGGTCTGCTGACACAGACAGGAAGTAGCTCCAAGACCAATCAGAAGACAGCAGAATACATTAAGAAGAAGCTGAGTAAGGATGTGTCTGCAGAGAGGAGCATCAGTCTGCTCCACTGTCTGAATGAACTGAATGATTCTTCTCTGGTGGAGCAGATCCAACAGACCCTGAGGTCAGGACGTCTGTCTAAAAGACTGTCTCCTGCTCAGTGGTCAGCTCTGGCCTTCATCTTACTGTCATCAGAAGAAAATCTGGACCAGTTTGAGCTGAGCAGATACTGTGCTTCAGAGGAGGCTCTCCTGAGGCTGCTGCCAGTGGTCAAGGCGTCCACCAAAGCTCTGTGAGTAACCTTTGTTTAACACAGGATTCATTCAACTTCTTCATAACCATGTTTTCTGTCTGCAGACTGAGCCGCTGTGAGCTGTCAGACAGAAGCTGTGGAGCTCTGGCCTCAGTCCTCAGCTCCCAGTCCTCTAGTCTGAGAGTCCTGGGACTATGACGCGAAGCTGCGCTCTAATTTAGGATGGATTTCTAATTTTGTGCGCGCACCAACGCGTCTCCTATTGAAATCTCATGTAAAACATGATTTTTCTAGCGGTCCTTGGCTCTAGATCGCAGTATACGCACACACAGCACTTGTATCTAAACATCAGCAGGAGGAGCAGCAGGTTTTACAGTGATTCTGGACATCGTTTTTTTCTTTCATAAAGTCTCGCGTCTGGCCAAACCAGCGCACAGAGACCATGAAGACAAACACATGCATGTGATTTGTGTTGCTCTACATCAGTCCTCTGGCCCGTACTGTCCTCTACACTGCTCCATAGACACACACGGGGAGATCATCAGAAGACGCGGACCTGCGCGCACGGCCTGTGTAGATACTCCAAAAAATGTTACGCGCAGATAGCGCGCAGTAAACGCGTACGCGCTGTTTACGCCTACTGTGTAAATTCCCTGCAAGGCTTTATCATCTCATTACAGAACAAACACTTATCTTTCTATTCAATAAAATGTGCTTCTCTGATCTGTGATATTTTAATCATTAAACAAACATTAGGCCTCTCCTTAAGATCTTCTTCTCAAGTTCAAACATCTGACAGAAAAGTGCTGTTGTGGAGATTCTGCAGTGACCGAGAGCAAAAATAATGTAAAGAACCAAGAGCTGTAAAACAATCAAAGTGTGAGTTTATTCATTAGTAAATGTGACACATACAATGAATAACAGAACCGATACCAACACCACCTGCAGCCGTCTGAAACCGTCTGTTATAGAAATCTTTTAGTAAACCAATCTGAATTAACACCAAATAGTTATAAGTGTAAGTTATTAACTAATTCTCAACTCTGGATTCAGATACAGCAGATATTACTGTTGGCAGCAGGTCAGTGATAGATGGAGACGTGCTGCATCATGTCTTTGACCTCATCTGCAGTGCCGGCGTGGCTAATCGGGAGAGTCGGGAGGTTTCCCGGTGGGCCGGTTGGGCTAAGGGCCGGTGGGCTGGATGTTGTATGTTGCTGGTTGGACTTGGCCGGCGGCCGTGCTTTCCTGACACCGCTGTTCACCGCAGCCTTCTCGGACCTGTCGCTCGGCCGTGCGCACTGCCTCTCTCTCTCTCTCACCCACACACACACACACACACACACACACACACACACACACACACACGAGTAAACAGCACACACACTTCTGGCTAGTCTCATTTGGCCGCTTTCATTGGTTACGATGTGTTCTGCAACGGCCTGATTGGTTGTCTGTAGATTGTAGGCGGGACTAACCGAGAGCGCGGGCCATAGATCAGGTTGAATGACAGATAGAACTGAAGCAAGTTTTTAAAATGGAAAGGAACAAAATCAAGGGCGGAGCAGAAAAGATTAGAATAAAAAACGGAAAGCTCTTGAAGCTGAAGCAGCCAAATGTGCAAAGTTGGTAGTTTTTTTCTAGAAAAAGTGCTCCGTCGATGAAGAGGCATCAGACCGCGGTAAGCTAGCAAAAAAACATGCAAAACACTGTGGCAAAACATGACGATGTGATTCCCTAAATGATTAGCATTCCGTCAATTACATTTATTGCTTCTTAGGTCCTCAGATACAACAATCGTCCATTCATATTAATGAAGAGCCTTAGGAACGGGCAGGTAAAGACCAAAAAGAAGATTTTATTTTTAATCAAATTTGACTAAGCCTTTTAAGGCCGTGAATGTATTTATTTCATAATGTATAATGTATATTGCATAAATAACATTTTTAACTTCTTTGTACATTAGGAAAGTAACAGTTGAATATTTTGTGTGTGTGTCAAAAGATGTGAAGAAGATGACATGTCTGGGATCGCGTCTTTCATTCAGACAGAAGACATGTTTTATTGTCGATGGTAGAGACAGCACGAACAACACGAACAACAGAATGCAAGTGTATTATACAGAGCGGAGGCATGGAGACCTCCAATCAGCAGCTGCCACAGTGCCATGTAGCTTGGCCTTCAGATAGACACAACAAGGGAAAAGTACTGGCTTCTGCACATTGATAGAAATGATGAGTTTAACTTTAACAACAGTTGCTTCAAAGTGTTATGAAATCTCACAGATGTGAAGCATTTATTGTCATGTCTAGAGAAAAAGACATCCTTTGTCATTGGATAAGGATATTATCATTATCATTAAGCAGAAACAAGTCACTTCTACAGAGTTTACTCATGTTTTAATGTGCTTACTTTTGCTTTTGTTAATTTGGGTTTGTTTGATTTAAATACTGTGCAGTTTGTGTTTTCTCGTCTTGATACAGGTTCACATTTAGTTTGCTTTTAGTTCTCCCCTGGGACAACATTAAAGTATGTTCAGATTCATTTTGGTTTTGTATAAAGTTGTAGCAAGTACATTTTTGTCTTAGTGTAGTGTTTGCATTAGTCTTTGTTTTTGTTTAGTCTTGAAAGGAGGATAATAGTTTAATGGTTTCGAGTCAATTCAATGTATTATTAAAAAAATATAGCCAAATCTTTGGGAATAACAATTATTTGAATGAAAATTGACATTGTTCTAAAATTTGTGAAATTCATACTTTTTATATCCACATAAGTCTAGAGTCAGTCTAAATTCATATTGTGATACCAGAATATTCAAATATCATGATTTATTCAAATGCATTATTGAGTTATTTTGTGACTAACACTGAGAAGTCTAAAAGGGGTGAACAAAGAATAACTTGATTAGTACTAGTCTGGTAATTTACAAAACTTGATTTTAGGCCACCTGCTGGTTGTTATGGATATTACAACAGCAGGCAGTTCAGTTTTTTTTGATAGACTACTTTATCAGAAGGGCCGGTCTGATCCAGAATTCCCGGGCCAAAAAATTGTCCCACTCCGGCCCTGCTCATCTGGGTCATAGAACAATATGTCCAGGTCAAAGCAGATCATTACAAGTATCAGAGTTGTATCAGAGAAAGGAAGAGTAAAGAGAAGCCTTGAGCGACACAGATCAATACTGACTTCATTTTGTAATATCTAGAGTAGATATGTCTTTGTTTACTCTGGTCTTTTTAATGTCTGTCATTTCCTCATTCGTGGCAGACGGTTTCAGACGGCTGCAGGTGGTGTTGGTATCGGTTCTGTTATTCATTGTATGTGTCACATTTACTAATGAATAAACTCACACTTTGATTGTTTTACAGCTCTTGGTTCTTTACATTATTTTAGCTCTTGGTCACTGCAGAATTTCCACAACAGTGCGTCTCCTCCTTCACCAAAGTCCTTCATCTGCTCTTTTTCACCCACAGATTTACACAAGTCTGAAGACAGTGGTTTCTTTTGTTGTACTTTTTTGTTAAAAAATAATAATCTAAAACAACAGCTCTATAAATGAAGTATCATCAGAAGCATCTAAATGTGTCAGTTTTGTTCTAAAGTCTGTAATGTTTTCTGTCTCCAGACTGAGCTGTTGTGAGCTGTCAGACAGAAGCTGTGGAGCTCTGGCCTCAGTCCTCAGCTCCCAGTCCTCTAGTCTGAGAGTCCTGGACCTGAGTCTCAACGACTTGAAGGACTCAGGGCTGAAGCTGTTGTCTGATGGACTGAAGAGTCCTCACTGTAAACTGGAGACGCTCAGGTCAGAGGGTTCATATGATTCACTGTTCTTACAGAACCTGTTGGTCATTGTTTTGGACAATACCAGTGGACAAAGACAGTTAAAGATAAAGGACTTGTTCTGTGTCTCATTTGGGTTGAATGTTAGTCATGAACTGAGTGATTACAATAATGTGTGTGTTCAGTCTGTCAGGTTGTTTGGTGTCAGAGGAAGGCTGTGCTTCTCTGGCCTCAGCTCTGAGGTCCAACCCCTCCCATCTGAGAGAACTGGACCTGAGCTACAACCATCCAGGAGACACAGGAGTAAAGCTGCTGTCTGCTCTGCTGGAGGACCCCCACTGCACCCTGCACACTCTCAGGTATGGTCTGTAAGGACAGAAGAGACATGTGACATCACACATCAAAGAACACATGGCCTTAGTGTGACAGATATATATATATATTTATATATACATTTTATTGAGGTTTTAAATATAATACAACAGAGCTTCAGTTAACAATTTAACAGAGTAGTTCAGTATTACAAGATGATTTTAGAATAAAACAAATAAAATAAAAACATAAAAAACAACAAAAACAACAACTGGGCCTAATGAGAACTTAAAGCTTCTCTTCAAAATAGAGAATAATCATATCCAAACAGTGTAAAGACCTGCAAGTTTGTCTTTTTTCTTCTTTTAATAATGTGTCAGGTCAGCAGTAAAGTCCAAATCCTTCATGAACTCAATAAAGGGTCCCCAAATGTGTTCAAACATATGTTGTTTTGACTTCTGGATATACGTCATTCTTTCTAAAGGTCGGCCAAGTGACATCTGCATGAGTTATGCAATTGATCAGTGCCCGTGGACCTGTCCTAACTTGGGACAAGGGTACAATTGAAATCACCAGTGTCGTCAACAAAAGATTTGACTGACGTGTTCAAAATTTGGTACAGAAATCAGACAAAAGATTCTCCAAGTTTAACATCTGCATTTAATTATCTTTACAATCAGATACAGAATATTCAACAAAAGAGAGCTCTTAAAAGCTAATCCATGTCCCTCTCTTGGCCCTATGCTGACTGACTGACAATCTCCTCCCAGCAGTTTCTATCAGAGGATCCGATGACGTCACAGGTCTGGGACTGGACTGGTCTCCGGTCTGGACCCGGTCTTGGTCTTCCATATCAGTCTTTAGCAAACAATGGCCCCACCCCTGCGGCGCCTGATTGTGTTGGACTTTGCTCTCGCCGAAAGTGTGAGAGAGCCCTGCTTATACTTGGAGTCAATAATTGTCTGGCTTTGTAAGCTGGTCCTCTTTATGATTCCCGTACTATCTTGTGTCCTTGGGGTTTTTCCTGAGTGCACAGAGGTCTTTTTTGGCTATGATGTCCAAATGGTCAAATATTGTCACATCTGAATAGTGTAGATTTAAAATATACAACAGTTTCCCTCTTTTGACCTGATTAAAAATTAGGTCACAATCCACATCGTCGTTTATCATCAATACTTGTGCTTAGTTCCGGCTTGATATCTGTGAAGAGTTAATACAGGAAGAATACAACACACAACAAACCACATTTTTACCATTCCTTCAATACTATTTGATGACCACTGCTGTGTCATTCTGATTCTCCTTCAACCTCGTCTGTAATGTATGCACTAAAACTATTCACTATAGTTTAAACTATTCTAATCTATTTACAAATATGTTTGCATCTTTGCTTTTATTGAGCCATATTCTTAAACATATGTTTTTATCTAATAAATCTATCTATACTGTGGTTTGCTTTCATTATCAGTGGCTTTGTGCCATTTTGTGGGGCTTTGCTCATTTTTCCAAACACATTTTGTTGAACCAGGAAGTGCTGTCACTTCCTCCTCTCAGACCGTTTGGGATGAATGTACATTGTTAATCAAATTGGTATTATCCTTACAAGAGCTAATCTATTTTAGCAGGTTTCTCTGGGGTCAGTCCCTTTACAACGGTATTTGATTCTCTAATCCAGTGTCTCCCAAAGTGGGGTCTGCAGGGGGGGCCGCGGGAGGTCATAAAAAAAAATAAACAAATAATATAATTATTTAATGTTAAATTTATAATGTTTTGTTTGTAATATTAAAATATTTGTGTTCATTATTTGACTTGAATAATCCACTGTAATCATTTTTGTATTCCAATGTTTGTAGCAGAGGCTATTTCCCCAAAATAAAATAACCAGAAGAGCCTATTCTTAATGTTGTCTTCTTGGTTATTATTTTGGGGGGCCACGCAGACCCGTCAGATTTTTAAGGGGGCCTCGGTGTTACTGAGTTTGGGAATGGCTGCTCTAATCTATTGCTGACAAATCGACAGCTCTTAAAATTCTCAAAAAATACCTAAATATCTACTTTTGTGCTATACCCAAATACATTAAAATGCTTTTAAATGTTTTTGAATCTCTGTTGTTTCTAAACTATCTCATTAATCTATCTCATTAGTCTATCTCATTAATCTATCTCATTAACTTTTGGCATTGTTAACATTCACCTATGTTTGAAACAAGCGAATTTGACAGTATCTAATAAAACTGTGCATAAACTGTAATGAACTTTATCTACCTTTGAAGTAAATACTTTTGGACATAATATGAAGGAAATGGTCCTTTTACCGTTTGATATTAGCCTTGGCTAAAAATAATCTCAATTTTTGAAAGCATCCATCTATTTCTACTCTATCGTGACTCCAAAGTTCAGTTGTAGCTTGAGCCAAAGCATATTCCCAATTTGTGAGTTCTGTCACTTTCAATGGCTGCAAAATAATTCTGATTCTAACAGTTTAGCTGCTCTATCAGAAGGATCACAATGTATGGTACCATTTTAACTCTTACTCCGAAGTTTGTTTATGACCAATGATCAAATTCTACTTTTTCCTACTATTTAACATCTACTAAAACACTAAAATACTCATACTTTATCATTTTAAACCATGTTACCAGTTGTTCAGTCTCCCAGACTAAAAGTCAACGTTTTTGTCTGCCAGACTGAACCCTTAACATTTATTGCATTTGGTCATAGTTGTGGTTCTAATTGTAACAATTGCATTGGCAATAGATGATTTTTCATTGGCTGGTTCTTGTTCTGCAAATCACTATTTTATGTATTGTATTTCAGACAATTCCAAAAACAACACAGTCGTTCTCCAATATTAAAGACATAAATCTAAATCAAGTTGCCTGAAAGGGAGCGGGAGGAAGAGAACTATTTTAAAACGTTCTCTACGATTATATGGCTATGAAATTAATTATTTAATAAACAAAAGCACATTCATGGCTTCTGTCCGCTGCTTATAACTGTTTAAAGAGTTGTCCCAAACTTAATGTGTGTAAATACATCAGCTGTTTGTAATAAACAATAACATTTAACCTGTTCTCCAATGGAGCAGCTCAGAGGCTGCATCAAGAGCAATGTTATATTTGAGCTATTTTTAGATTTAAAATTTTGTTTAAAGCCTGTCGTTCTATGTCTGCATTTTAATACTACTCTCTATAAACACATCTGCACTAGTTCCTACAGATGTGGAAAACAGAAACATCTAAAATCTGACTCCATTTGATTCCTTTTTACTTTAGTTATTAGAACAATTTGACCTTATTGATACTTATTTCCACAATAGAACTATTTTGATTATTCACTCCTGTGGACTCACCACCTGCAGGAGGATCAGTGAGGGGCTGGTGCTCTGTGTACTGGGTGCAGCTCTGACTGCCACCCCCCCCCCCCCCCCCGACCCAGAAATGGATTAAGGGGAAGAAAATGGATGGATGGATGGATGGTTATTCACTAGTCTAACTATTATTACTATGGTTTATTCTGACACCTCTTCTTAGCGACCTTTCAACCTATAGCTCCTTGAATCCAATGACATTATAGCTCCAGACTATTTCATTCTATTCTATTATTATTATTATATGATCTATTATCTTAAAGAGTAGATCTGTTTGATGTTATAAGCGCTATTATTTCTCCTTTTGAATTTGCACAACACTAAATTTAGAATGACCCCCTATGGGACAAATAAAGAATTTTATTTTATTTTGGCAAATCCGAAAATTACTTAATAATTCTCCCATTTTGCTTTTTAGGCTGCCCTTTCCATTATTTATTTGGTCTTGTAAATATATGTTTTACACACTTCTTTCTAATGATTTAGAAGGTTAAGGACCATGACCACCTATGACAATAACATTACCATACTCCCTCTCTTGGTCGTGGTCCAAAGTATAAAACATGCATCTGTGTGTGTGTGTAGATTTACTGTTCCAATCATCTGTGTTCTCCCGAGACGTGACTTCCCGCATTATTGGGTGAATGTCTATATCTTAATCAATAAATAATTGGAAGTTTACACATCCAGGCAGATTTATAAATTCAACAGAAACTACTCTAGTACTGAAGTTTCTGAAGTTTCTATCCCACAACTCTCAATACTTGGTCTTGTATAGTTGATTTTTTTATGCTTGTGCCACTAACTATGGGAATGGAGAATAATGCTTTTGAGGTATCATTCATAATCTCCAAAGTGTGGCCAAAACAATGCAATCTATGGCCGCGTGTGCAAACTTTTGAGCACAACTGTATACTGCAATTACCAGTATACAGTATATTCCTTCAAGTAGTAACACTCGTATAAATGCATGTCTCACCCATTCTCAGACTGATGAGTGGCTCCAGGACACCCCTCCGGAAGGCGGCCAGTGGGTCTTGGACACAGGAGCGGAGACTGAGCATGCTCTGTAGATGGGGCTCCTTCAATAAGAGCTCTCTATAGGCCGTGAGCTGGTGAGAGCGGCAGAGAAGGGCCGCCACGCTGTGCACAAACTCGGGCACCAGGCACGTGTATGTGTTGTCCGCCTGGCAGTAGTGATACGCCACAACCTGTGACCAGAGAATACAGGGAGGTTAGGAGGAGCTGATGGATCACAACAGATAAAACAGAGCTATTTGTGTTGATGTAACAATGTAGGACAGCACAAACAATAGTAGGTCTGGACAATGGGGCTGGCAAGTGTGGCATCATTCATTTCTCACGTACAGGTTCAAAGATAACTTAACAGCTCAACTTTTGCTTTGAACTTATTACCTGTAGGCTCTGTTTTGTTCAAATCAAACAATATAAACCGGAGGTGCAAGGGAAAAATTGAGAACGTGGCTTGAATTGATAAAGCAACAACCCTAACCCATGCCAATAATATAATAAGGATCGTTAATCTCAACCAGTTTTTTAATCAACGGAGAAGATAGAGAAGTGGATTTTTAATTTATTTTGTATAATTAAGCAAGCCTTTTGTTTACAGTTACCTTCAGCCTGGACTCAGAAGTGCAGTATTTTACATATTACTTTATTTTGTATTTTTGACAGAAATATACACTTATGTTTTCCACTCTTTTAAATTTAAAATGTGTTTTGTGATCTATTTATTGGATTAACTATTACAACTAAAATTGTAGAAAACATTGTTGTTTTCTGGACTGCCACCATAACGTGGTGGGGGAGTTTGAGTACTCGGATGATCCTGGGAGCTATGCTGTCTGGGGCTTCATGCCCCTGGTAGGGCCTCCCATGGCAGACAGGTCTCAGGTGGAACGTCACCTCACTGGGTGGGAAGGAGCCCGAGCTTGTGGGGGAGGTTGAGCGATACCGACTAGAGATAGTCGGCCTCACCTCCACACACAGCTTGGGCTCTGGAACCCAACTCCTTGAGAGGGGTTGGACGCTCCACTTTTCTGGAGTTTCCAACGGGGAGAGGCGGCGAGCTGGGGTGGCCATTCTCATTGCCCCCCATCTCAGCCGCCACGTGTTGGAGTTCTCCCCGGTGAATGAGAGGGTTGCGTCCCTCCGCCTCCGGGTGGGGGACAAGTCTCTCATTGTTGTGACGGCCTACGGGCCTAACAGCAGTGCAGAGTACCCGGCCTTCTTGGAGTCCTTGGGAGGGGTACTGGACGGTGCACCGCCCGGGGACTCCGTTATTCTCCTGGGGGACTTCAACGCCCATGTGGGAAACGCCAGTGACACTTGGAGAGGGGTGATCGGGAAGAGCAGCCCCCCTGATCTGAACCCGAGCGGTGTTCAGTTGTTGGACTTCTGTGCCAGTCACAGTTTGTCCATCACGAACACCATGTTCGAGCACAAGGGTGTCCACCAGTGCACGTGGCACCAGGACACCCTAGGTCGGAGGTCGATGATCGACTTTGTTGTCGTATCATCTGACCTTCGACCGCGTGTCTTGGACACTCGGGTAAAGAGAGGGGCGGAGCTGTCAACCGATCATCACCTGGTCGTGAGTTGGATCCGCTGGCAGGGGAAGAAGCCGGTCAGACCTGGCAGACCCAAGCGTATAGTGAGGGTCTGCTGGGAACGTCTCGCTGAGCCCCCTGTCAGACGGACTTTCAACTCACACCTCCGGGAGAGTTTCTCCCAGGTCCCGGCGGAGGAGGGGGACATGGAGTCCGAGTGGACCATGTTCTCTGCCTCAATCGCCGATGCGGCGGCTCGTAGCTGTGGTCGCAAGGTCTCTAGTGCTGGTCCCGGCGGCAACCCCCGAACCCGGTGGTGGACACCGGCAGTAAGGGATGCTGTCAGGCTGAAGAAGGAGTCCTATCGAGCCATGATGGTTCGGGGGACTCCTGAGGCAGCTGTCCAGTACCGGCAGGCCAAGCGTGCCGCGGCCCGGGCTGTTGCAGAGGCAAAAACCCGGTACTGGGAGGAGTTCGGAGAGTCCATGGAGTATGACTATCGGTCGGCCTCGAAGATATTCTGGCAAACCATCCGGCGCCTCAGGAGGGGGAAGCAGTTCTTTGCCAACACCATGTACGGTGCGGGTGGAGAGCTGCTGACCTCGACTGGGGATATTGTCGGGCGGTGGAAGGAATACTTTGAGGTTCTCCTCAATCCCCCCGTCACGTCCTCTGTTTCAGAGGCAGAGGCTGAGGATGTTGGGGCGGATACATCCATCTCCCTGGCTGAGGTCACCAAGGTGGTTGGTAGCCTCCATGGTGGCAAGGCTCCGGGTGTGGATGAGATCCGCCCTGATTATCTAAAGTCTCTGGATGTTGTAGGACTGTCTTGGCTGACACGTCTCTGCAGCATCGCGTGGCGATCGGGGGCAGTGCCAATGGAGTGGCAGACCGGGGTGGTGGTCCCTCTCTACAAGAAGGGGGACCGGAGGGTGTGTTCCAATTATCGTGGGATCACACTCCTCAGCCTGCCCGGTAAGGTCTACTCCAAGGTACTGGAGAGGAGGCTACGGCCGATGGTCGAATCTCGGATCCAGGAGGGGCAGTGTGGTTTTCGTCCCGGTCGCGGAACACTGGATCAGCTCTATACTCTCCATCGGATACTCGAGGGTTCATGGGAGTTCGCCCAACCTGTCCACATGTGCTTTGTGGATTTGGAGAAGGCGTTCGACTGTGTTCCCCGGGGTGTCCTTTGGGGGGTTCTCCGGGAGTACGGGGTCGGAGGTCCTCTGCTGAGGGCCATCCGATCCCTGTATGACCGGAGCCAGAGCTGTGTTCGCATTGCCGGCAGTAAGTCAGACCTGTTCCCGGTGAATGCTGGCCTCCGACAGGGCTGCCCTTTGTCACCGGTTCTGTTCACTGTATTTATGGACAGAATATCTAGGCGCAGCCAGGGGTCGGAGGGGGTCCGGTTCGGAGACCACAGGATTTCATCTCTGCTGTTTGCGGACGATGTTGTCCTGTTGGCTCCAACGAACCAGGACCTGCAGCATGCACTGGGACGGTTTGCAGCCGAGTGTGAAGCGGCTGGGATGAGAATCAGCACCTCCAAATCCGAGGCCATGGTGCTCGACCGGAAAAAGGTGCCTTGCCCTCTGCAGGTGGGTGGAGAGGTCCTTCCTCAAGTGGAGGAGTTCAAGTATCTCGGGGTCTTGTTCACGAGTGAGGGAAGAATGGAGCGTGAGATTGACAGGCGGATCGGTGCAGCGTGCGCAGTGATGCGGTCGCTGTATCGGACCGTTGTGGTAAAGAGGGAGCTGAGCCGAAAGGCAAAGCTCTCGATTTACCGGTCAATCTTCGTTCCCTCCCTCACCTATGGTCATGAGCTTTGGGTAATGACCGAAAGAACGAGATCGCGGATACAAGCGGTCGAAATGAGCTTCCTCCGCAGAGTGGCTGGGCGCTCCCTTAGAGATAGGGTGAGGAGCTCAGTCACACGGGAGGAGCTCGGAGTAGAGCCGCTGCTTCTCCACGTCGAGAGGAACCAGTTGAGGTGGCTCGGGCATCTGTTCCGGATGCCTCCTGGACGCCTCCCTGGGGAGGTGTTCCGGGCACGTCCCACCGGGAGGAGGCCCCGCGGAAGACCTAGGACACGCTGGAGGGACTATGTCTCTCAGCTGGCCTGGGAACGCCTTGGGGTCCCCCCGGACGAGCTGGAGGAAGTGTGTGTGGATAGGGAAGTCTGGGCGTCTCTGCTTAGACTGCTGCCCCCGCGACCCGGCAACGGATAAAGCGGAAGAAAATGGATGGATGGACATTGTTGTAAGTATTCATCACAATGGAGTTAACAAATTGCCAAAAAACGCTTTTGCAGAAAACTACTGCCAAAAAGTCATTGAAATCCCATGTTATAATCACATTTCGCACAACAATCTTGTTATTGTGATACGGATTTCTTATAATCCAATTTCAATCTTGCCATGTAACATGAATTTCACTATAATATTTTATACTTGGTTATTACAGTATGTGTCAATAAGTGTCAATGAGTAAAGGCTGCATCCGGTTTTCTTATCAAGAACCATAAAACCTTACTATTCAAAAGAAGGTGAGTCTAACCTAAGTGAGCAATTTTTAGACATTAGTTGTCACTCCCATTAACAGAGCAGTCAATCCCAGGCGGTGGCCTAAAATGAGATGTTCAGGTGGAGATTGGGTTCTGAAATGGAAGGACAGTAAAGGTGTGGAGGCTGGACAAGGCCCAGGGGACGAACGACACACTTACAGGGAACACTGACGGAAACACTCAGCAAACCTTCCATTTGTGAACATGTTCCACTTAAAGGGCATTATGACAAAATGTAATGAAATAAATATGAAACGGTCTTCTTCCCTCTTATCCCCCCAGTCAATATGATTTATGCATGTTGAGTAATCCATGTTTGAGGGATTGTTGGTATTCAAGCTACCAGCAATCCCTTTTTTACTGTCACAAATAAACTTCTTTATTTACATTGATTTCCTGAGCAGGCATTTTGGCACAAATGACTTGGCTTTGATGTCCATGTTGACATAAAGTGGTAGATGCAAACTAGGCCCACAAAAGTTCTATGCACAGGTTAAAAAACTGTAACAGTTTAGTTCTAGTGCATGGCTGTGTGAGTAACAATGAGAATGCATACATTGAATGCATAGTGTATGCTTAGAAATCTATCAGTATTATAATACTTACTGTCTGAATGAAAATTAAATGTCAGACAAAGATTTGCTCCAACAAAAGGTAACATAACATAACCCAGAACAGCTTTACAACAGCCAAACTTTAGACCATTTTTGAAAGCTCAAGACAAAGTTTGGCACTTTCTTCTAGTTAATAAGTAATGGGGCTCATGTCAACCAGTAATGATCTCAGTAACAGTGTCAGGACTCTCTTTTCGAATGAATGATTAAAAAGAGCCGTTAGAATTTGACAGACGCTGCCTGCTGTTGCATCACACATCACAGGAACACAGCGGGCAAGAGAGACGGAGGGCGCGCCAGTTGGAAACATTTTACACAATAAGTGGCTTGAGGGATGTCGCTTTGATTACAAACATATTCAAATGGACCGCATCTAAGGGAGCGTCTCAGATCAACCACCAGCGCTTTTGACAAGTCATTCATTGGAATAAACCAGCCATTCCCAAACTCAGTAACACCGAGGCCCCCTTAAAAATCTGACGGGTCTGCGTGGCCCCCCAAAATAATAACCAAGAAGACAACATTAAGAATAGGCTCTTCTGGTTATTTTATTTTGGGGAAATAGCCTCTGCTACAAACATTGTAATACAAAAATGATTACAGTGGATTATTCAAGTCAAATAATGAACACAAATATTTTAATATTACAAACAAAACATTATAAATTTAACATTAAATAATTATATTATTTTTTTATTTTTTTTATGACCTCCCGCGGCCCCCCTGCAGTACCCTCGCGGCCCACCAGGGGGCCGCGGACCCCACTTTGGGAGACACTGGAATAAACGATAAAAATAAAAAAATCACAAAAAAGAAATATTTTCTATAAATTGCATTTAACTTTCTGACCTTGTCTTTTTTTCTCTATATTGAAAGAATTTTGTCTTTTAGTTATCTTTATTTATCAATGAGAGTGCCAGATTTTTCATGAACAAAAATAAAAAGCACACAAAGTACAATAATAATAATAGACAATTAATAAAATTGAGTTATGTTTGTACAATTTGAAAACCAAGTTATTCAAAAGCGAAAGCGGAATCAGAGTGTCCAATTTCTCAAAAGTAATTACATTTTTGAGATGCAAAATGGTTCAAGGCCTACTATTCCAAGTTCAGCTTTTGTACTTTTTTTCAAAGCAGATGATCCTGATCTTACCAATCCTTTGCTGTGAAGACTGAGGTACATAAAACATATTGTATTTGGTTCTCTTACCTCTGCTGGAATCTCTGCACTGCAAATGTGTGCGGTATGAGACCCATTGTGACTTTGCATTGTACACAAAGACAGCAGTCACCCCAAAATCGCAGCCAGAGTGAACCAGGGATGAGTTGAACAATGCAGCCAGAGTGCGGCTTGTTGTTCTGCAAAGTATCACCTATCAGGGGAACGTTTGTGTAGTTACAAAACCTTTATCCGATCAAAATAGAAAATAGTTAGGTGTTTGAAGAGTGTGTCGGATGCTCCCCCATACTTTCCATCCATGCTGCTACGAAAAAGATTTTCATACCGCTTTTATCGAACCGCATTGAGTGGGAATGTTGATGTTTGAATAGAAAAGACACTCTGGAGCTCCGGAGGTCTCACTTGCAAATGTACGTGTGCAAGATAAAATGTTGCTTTAAACTGCTTTGCTTTGATATGAGTAACTTAACAAAGAATGTTCCTTCTACAACTGGCAATGCATTGTATTTCTAACACATCAAAGATTTTCATCTGAGAGATCTCTTTTTTTTACTTTGTCGGAATCAAAATTCAGCTCTACTTATAGGCCTCAACCTAAGCCCTGCAGACCAGATCAAACAAGACTATGACATTAAAGTTTTAGTAGAGCAGCAGATAGCAGTGTTTAATGACCTTAGCAGGTTATCCAACACTGATCCACAACCCACAGCTCAGATACCAGAAAAAACTATACACAAAATGAGCTGCAAGTAGCTGTTAAATAGATTTGAAATATAGATCAGATAAGTCTGCAGTCCAGTGCATATCAGGGCAGCATAGAATGGAACTAATGGTATAAAAGCTGTACCAAAAATGTTTGACCTCTAACAAAAAACCAACAAAAGGTTTGAATTACTAACATCTGCACCACGGCATTTAGCATTCAATCCAGGACTAAAATCTTGACTTAAGATCAAACCGTTTCTCCCTCTCACTCCTTTAGAAGCCATCTATTGTATTAAAACTGTAAAAGCAGTATAGTCACAATTGTCCACTTCAGATGAAAATGTTCAAATGTCTCTCTCTGGGGCCAGGACTCCCCTTAAAAAAGAGATTCTCCCATCTCAGTGGGACTTTCCTGGTTGAATAAAAGGTCAATAATAATGTTAAATAATATTGTCCTCTGCAGCAGATACAATAGAGTCAAAATAGATATTGTTTTTGTTTTGTCTTTCTTCTTGTCTTTCTGCTTTAATCTCTTATTATTTCTTTGTTGCATTATTATGACTCTTGTGCTTTTATTGCTTTATGCTCACTATGCAGCGCTTTGTAAACACCATTTTATAAGATCTGATCCTCAATTTTCAAATTTCAGACTAGTTAACACATTTTATATGCTATATATTATATTCTATAAATGAAAGCAAGAAAACTACGAGATCTACACGTGAACCTGAGTTCCCCAAATTCCATTTCAATTCAATCCATTCACCTAAATAAACCAACAATGGGAACTGCTGTAGACTTTCAACTGGCACCAGAACAGTGCACCAAGGCATTGTGTTGCTTCAAATGTATAAAACCCCACTGGAGAATTGGGTGTTGTTGATTTATTGTGTACCTTAGCAGCCAGGCGTCGGACGGCCTCCTCCCGTCGCCTCTGGATCTCTGGCGTCCCTGGGCAGCTGTTGGTCCTTAGGGTGTTAGACGCGCTGGAGGGTGGGGTGGGCTGTGGGGGCTGGCTTAGGGGAAGTTCTGTGCTTTGTCCGGGGCCACCTAACAAAACCAAATGCGTGTCACACATCTTAAACAAGCCAGCATGTTTCAACTTTACTGTCACTTGTTTTAGTTGAATGCATAGTTGTGCCTGGAAGTGTACACACCCGGCCAGAGATTTCATTGTTTTTGCCTTAGTTTGGTGGTGCAAAAACTTGTTTTCCCAATCAGTAATTGTGTGTGAAGTCATTTATTGTCAAATGCTTTCTGTTTTCAAGTTTTCTTTTGCCAAAAAAGGGCAGACGATTGATATCATCATACACATCTACCACAAAAGACTCAAGCTATAATCCATGTTAAAGGGGCAGTACACGCTACTGAGAACTGAGGAATGTACGTACACTTCTTATCAGGATCTGAAGAGTAGTTTATTCCTTACAATATGAAAATTGACAGCACATTTATTTGACTGGAAGGCATCCACCACTGACAATAACAGGAAAAAATAATTTGCGTCATCATTCATAACCTCCAAATGATGGTCCAAAAACAATCAGAATTTTGATGTGTATAAACCTTCAAGCACACCTTTATAAAAAAAAAAAAAAAAAATCCGGTGTTACCTTTAGGTGAGGCACTAGGACTGTTGGATGCAATTTGTCTCATGCGTCCGCCGTGGCAGCTCAGAGCTACGAGCCTGGAGATGATGGCCGTTTTCCCATAGCCCACACTTCCAACTATTACAGCTCCGTGGGCCTCTTCTGATTCACCCGATTTTAGAACATCCTCCAGCCCCTGAAACAGCCAGTCCCTTCCCACAAACACGGAATCTGTGGTGATACTGGGCACCTCAAATAACAGGGGCTTGAGCATGATATCTGAGGGTTTGTATGGAGCGAATCGACCTACAGAAACAAACAGACAAATGTTCTACAACACTTTATACTAAGCTTCAATGTAGACAGTGCATTTTATGTGAATGATTATTATGTGCGCTGTACTTTTTTAATTGTTTGTGAAGAGTAAGTTTGTTTGAACAAAATTGAGGACACAATGAAATGTAAAAAAAATAATATAGAAACGCTAATTAGCAATTATTATGACTGCTCCAAGCAAATGTAAAAGAGGAAATATTGCATCAAAACAGTCAAAATGTAGGCTCCAAAAGGGATTTCCATGTTGTGCTTAACTGGTAAAACAGAACAACAAATCTGAAAAACAATGAAAAAGTGATTTTTAATTCTAATTTTGGTATATTAATTGATATCTAGTTATTGAATTGCTATCAATCTGGTGGTTGAACAGCAGCAAGAATACCCATTTTGGTCATGTCAATGCAAAGAAGTATACCTTATAATAGCGGTAATTGCAAACTAACCATTCTTTGAGTTTATTTACCTTTTGAGTCCTGAGGCGGCCTCCCTCCGGTGTTGTGCCAGGGGAGGCGGATGGACGTGCGGAGGGGGGTGTTCCGCTGCTCATCCAGGAAGCTCAGGTCCTCCAACTTTGTGGAACTGGTGGCTGTAAAAAGAGAGTGAAGAGAAATCCAATCAAACTCTTCATCAGAGTACATCTCCCGGCGCTGTGGAGTTTAGTGACACATTGACTTGTCAGGCAAAGTGATGGTGACAACAGAAGAGGCCCGCTCTGCTGACAGCTGCAGTTTGCTCGGGGCATTGTGACCAGGTAACGGTAATGGGCAAAAGAGCTGCCATGAGCTGTAGCATAAAGCTGATTTGAGCTGACGGCACACTGGAGTCTCGAGGGGTGTGTGTGGAAGAGTACAGATAATTTGTTAAAGCCTTGCTCAGGTAAAATGTCGCTATACCACATAGGAAAACATAACAGTGTAACTCATTTCATATATATTTTGAAAAATCCAAAACTGTGGGCATGGATTTGTCATTCCGTCCCATAAGAATTCTTGGTCGTTGTTACCTTATTGATTCTTCAGTAATACCTTTAATACGCAGATTTGATGCAGTGCAGTATAAATACACATATTGCCATTCTGTCATTCCTTATGAAAGGTTTGAACTTGAATATATAACAGAAATACCCAGAAAGCAGATAGAACCCTGTATTTTGATCTGGAACAATGTGAATAGCTGTACTGTTCTAAAATAAAAGAGACATTACAAAAAATGTGACAAGGGAAATTATACGAAATAAAGCAACAGACTATAGAAAAACAGTTGGGCTGAACAGCTCTTGCGTGCAAACAGACTACTGCACAGTGGGTTATGATCAAATTGAGACGTTTCCAGGTAATGTAAGCTCAACAGTGAATCACAGGAGTAATAACAGATATTACTGGCTATAGTGGAACGCTCTAAAGCAGTCAAAGTCGTACAAAATTACAGCATTGTGCTAATAATACGAGATGAATTCACTCTGTGTCTGTCGCTCTGAGCAAATACACTGAAATAATCAATGGTAGCCTCAGAGACAGAGTGTTGATGAGGTTGAACGCAGACTTTGGGTCGAACGTTGGATTCTGCAGGATATGTACTATCTATTTTTATACTAGACAAGTGACTCTTAAGACAGTGGTTCAAAATGTGGGTAAACAACATTATAATAGATTTAGCATGTCTTTAGCCACCCAAATCATTACTGCCGTTACTATTACTTAGAGTGTAATCAGCAGTGTCCAGTTTTAAACTTATATAACATCTGCATTTGGGGTTCGACACCTGCTTTTTAGGGCTGGAGATGAAATGCTTGGTCCACTATGATATTCCATGTACATCAAATGGTTGACTCAAAGGTGAGGCAGTTGAGCACTTTCTAAATAATTTGCAGAAATTAATATGATGTAGACACATCAGAAAGCACAAGTAAGAAGCAGCATCTTCAAAAGACGTGTTGGATTTTACTTGAACTTCATTTATTATGTACTTGTAAATTTGCTTGACAGCTACTTGCACACTTATGTTATGTACTTTATGCATATTTGAATAACTTAAATATACATTCCTTTTACCGTTTCCTTTTACACAAAACCAAACTAACTCTGCGTTCACTTTTGGTGTAAAAAATAGGATTCAAAAACAAGCAGGACAAACCACAGATTGCATAAGGCTTTTAGTCTCGAGCATGAGACATGTAATATGATAAAGACATTATATGATATATATATGATAAAGCATTTAGCAGCAGGCGTTTGTGTGTTCCATTGGGTCTCCATGGTGATGTGTGCACTCTGGTCCTGAATGGACCTCATCATCTCTGTCACTGCTCTCTTTCTCTATTTGCACTTTGAGAAAACTTACTATGTGGAATGTCCCAGTAATAATCTCACTGCTGATGGCACAGGATCAGACTGACAAAGCTGATTCATTTTCCAATAAAACTAAACCAAGCCTGTCATGGTTTAATGAGAAAAAGGTGGCTGCTCTGGCTTTGTTAGAAGATCAGGGTAACAAAGCAGAACAGATTTTCAAATTTAACTGTTAACCAGTAAAAACAGATCTAGTGAACAAAGTGACCAAGATAGTAATATTTACGGCATCGCCAAACCAAAACACTCTCTTTCCCGAATTGTCCAAATAAAATATACATCACACGAGCCAAGCAGGCATGAGGGCAGGGTGCAGTGAGCCTGGAGCCGGGTGTCTCTGGAGAAAAGATGAACTCACAGAGGGCACAACACGTTCTCTCTGCCCCAGTAAACCCAGTCACAGTGGCAGCACGTCCCCCTCCAAAGCCCTCTCCAGTGCCCAGCCTGTCAGTGCATCTGTCCCATCAGGCAACAGTACAGAGAGGGGTTTAAACGGCTACTGCATTATCTGTCGCCCATGGTAAATGGAATGTGACAGTGTTGTAACATTTACTTTAACATTATGTTGTACACGAAGGATTTTATATTCACTCTAAATAATGCACTGTGGCAATTTATGATTTTAAAGTTGTGTGTGATTTTTAATTTGTGATCTTAATGTTTTTAATCATATTTTTCAATGTACAAGTAGATTTTTTACTGTTCATGATTTATGCTTGACATGATATGGGTTTTGAGGCGTTTCGTGTTGCCTTGCGTACGAAAGGTAACCTACAAATAAAAGTTGATCGATTGATTTTTTAAAATTATAATATGTTTTAATCCTTTATAATAAATGGAGTTGTAAAAATCTATGACCATATAAAATATTATATTGGTAAATGTAAAAAAAAAAAAAAAAAAAGATTAATGTTTAAGAGAAGGTCTGTTACTTCTCAAAGGTGAAGAGACATATTTTGAACGCAAGCGCCAGTGAGACCCGCTTCCATAGGTTCCTAATTGGATGCAATGCATTTAGATTTTTGATAGACAGCTGAGGCCTCTCACCATTTGTCTAACTAATCTCTTCCAGCAAAGCTAAATGGTGGTGCTTATTCTAACCGTTTTAAATATATGTATTATGAAATATTCTTAACTCATATGATACTAAAATTGTATGTAGCCCTTTTTATTATTCACCCAGTTTCATTCTCTGCTCACACATCTGTGCTGATGAAACCTGCACATAATACCTTGAAGTCTGCCCTGGCTGACTTGGACTTTGAAGCATTTGTCGGGCCATATTCTGATGAGAATCTGCTCTTTTCCTTTAGCTATATCTAACCTTTGAAACCACTACAATAGGCAGAGGTATCGAGCTCCGCTGGCCCAAACAAAGCCTTCTTATCAGCCTGACTTGACTCTCAGACCTGCCGACTTTTTGGCCTTTTATAAATGTAGAGAGCCATCGCTATCCTGAATAACCTTTGGGAGGAGAGGTTTTGAGAAGTTGAAATCTTGTCTGCTTTGAATAAAATAGATATAGCATTCGTCTATCAAACAATTTTGTACATCATTCATTCACTGCATGGTTGTACGACATCTTTTCAGCTGGAACAGATTGAGGGTACACTGACAAAACTGTTGTTGTAACACCACTTTCATAGTGGTAAGGTTGGCCTCTTGTTTTTGCCTGAGGATCATAATACAAGGAGAAAGATTTGCAGTAACCTTTACATTTCACAAACATAATACATCGACAACCTTTCCACTGCTATCTGATTTTTAATCAATCAATAATGGCCCTATAGAATCCTTAAGGCCATGTTACACAGGTAAAGTACTGTATGTACTACTGTAAGTGCCATCCACAAAGCGGAGTTGTTGCCATGGAAGCCAGCACTATTCACCTCCATCAAATGCACAAAGCAAGAATAATGTAAAATCTTACATTTTAAATGAAAAGACACAATTCCAGTTTATTAAACAGATTGTCGAAGGTGACAGCAAGGTTGTTCAAATTCGACAGTTTTCTCACCTGCTTCCTATTGTCTGTTGTCTCTGTTCTCACTCCTCTACCCTGACATAAACGGCACAGTACAAATGAAGTTTAAATTCTGAAATAAAAAATATGCATAGTCGGACCAAAATGAAAATAAAAGTCTTGATCCACAAGTACAAGTCCACACAGAGTAATATTGAAAACATACAGCATTCTCTTATTTAAACTATATTTTTGACCAACTGTTATATTGGATTCTCTTTAAAGAATCTTCAGAATAAATATGAGCTGGAATTGTAGTGCCTTACAATAACTCTGCATTCACTGTCCATTCATCCATCCATTTTCTTCCCCTTAATCCATTTCAGGGGGAACCAGCCCCTCAATGATCCTCCTGCAGGTAGTGAGTCCACAGGAGGATGGCTGCTCTGCCACAAAGGACACATTCTTCAGCTTAGGCTTCAGGCAAAGTAGGATTAAGTGTCTTGCCCATGGACACAATGACAGCAGACATCAGTGGGAGTACGTCTCGTGGTGGGCTCGAACCCACAACCTTCGGGCTCAAAGGACAATGCGCCCCCATAGATTATTCATACTGACAGTATTCCCTGTCAGTATGAATAATCCACAAAACATTCTCACCAAACACATAAGCAAATATAGTGTAATTCTAACAAATGTAATGCATAGGTGTAGAACTATTTTTTTTGGTCAGATTGCTTATCCCTCCTTTCAAGACTCTCTGATCATAATCGATCGACTGACTCACAAAACGGTATTTAATCATAAAAAATGATTGGAAACCAACAGCACATATGAAAAAGGTTGCCTCCTACAAACTGATAAGGGGATAAGCTGTGATGCTAGTATCAGAAAATCACTGCTGTAGTCCGTTCCCTGGAGCTAGTAGTCCAACAACTTTCTAAAACGCTGTCTATCTCTTCAAGTGACATTACATAACTGCTCGTGTCAGTCCATCTTAGCTAAGTCCGCGGGGGATCCAGCCGACCGCACTGCCCCTCTGAGATTGGACGTGAGTCATCCTTCTTTCTGTTAGTTCTGTAAAGAGTACCACTGTGTGTAGTACTCCAAATGCGCCTTCAAACTCCACCGGATTGATCTACACTACAGCTTTCCTCCGTGTTCCCCGCTGAGTCCTAGATGCATCGGCTCCTCTCCAAAATGGACGTTGTAAAAGATGTCAGAGCAAGTTTTCCACAGAGAAATGGAGAAATAAATATAAAAGTGTTGGTGTTT